TTCACCAAGATGAGGAACTGTTTTCCCTCTGATGATGCCCTACTCCAACCTGATGCCAATGGATGAAGCCATGCAGTTCTGACAAACCTCTCAGGTTCTACACAGTGCCTCAAACAAGGAGACATCCTCTGTAAGTCGTTCAAGTACAAGTTGTCAAAACTCCATGTGAAACTACAGAGTCCCTTTCTAGAGCCTTCAATTTCACCACATCTATCAGACCCCAGTCCCAAGAAGAAACATAGCGGAAGGAGAAACTGAGAGAGGTGCTGATTGAGCCTGACCTAACTGACAATGAAAAGTGTGCTCTTCTGGATTTCCTCGTGATGTGTTCAGTCTGGAAGAAGGAGAGGGAGAAACTGATCTCATTGAGATGGAAATCGATACCGGAGATGCCGCCCCAAAGAGACAGTCAGCCTGGAGAATGCCATTTGCTGTGCGACAGGAAGTTGCAAAACAAATGCAGGACAATGGGGTAATCAAGCCATCCAGATCACCATGGGCAAGCCCTGTAGTCCTCGTGCGGAAACGAGATGGTACACATAGGTTTTGTGTGGATTACTGAGCGTTGAATTCAGTGACCAATCCTGACAGTTTCCCACGAGTTTACGACCTATTGGACCAGCTTGGGAGCTCGAAGTATTTTTCAACTATTGATCTCGCTTCTGCAGGCTTCTGGCAAATAAGGATGCACCCCACAGCACAAGAAAAGACGACTCATCAAGGCTTATATGAATTTCGAGTCATGCCGTTCGGACTGACAAATGCCCCTGCAGTGTTCCAAAGACTCATGCAGCAAGCTGAACCCGCCCTCAGGACCCGACTTTGCCTCTGTCTATCTGGACGACATTCTGGTTTTCTTCCGTACATTAGAGGAACACCTGGCCCACTTGCAGATAGTCATTCACAGAATGAAGGATGTCGGATTGAAGTTGAAATGCAGATTCGTCAAGCGGGAATTGGAGTACCTCGGTCACATTGTGAGCCGAGATGAACTAAAGACCAATCCACGTCTGATTACAGCTGTTCAAGACTGGGACTCGCGTCCTACTACCAAAGATTCATCTGCAATTATGCCAGTATTGCCCGCCCCCTACATCAACTGACTTCCAAAAGAGCTGAGAATGTGTGGACAAATTACTGCAGGAAGGCTTTCTGAGAGTTGAAGGAAAAGCTGACTACTGCACCTGTCCTGGCATACCCAGACTTCAGCCGCAACTTCGTGCTGGAGACCGATGCATCAGTCCAGGCTGTACTTGGACAGTATCAGAAGGATGACAAAGTACCCCCAGTTGCCTATGCCAGCAGAGCTCCGAGTCATGCAGAACAGAGATATGGCATCAACGAGCTTGAGACACTTGCAGCTGTATAGGCTGTTTCTCACTTCCACCACTACCTCTATGGCAACAAAGTCACTGTTTTCACCGACCACACAGCGTCAAAGCTGTGCTGGAGACGTCGAATCCGTCAGCCAAACATGCCAGATGGTGTCTCGTGTCTACGGCAGAGGTATAAAGGATGTGAAGAAAGTCTATCACCCAGGGAGTGAGAACAGCAATGCTGATGCCCTGTCGCGACATCCACAACTACCAGCCCTGGTAGTTGGAATCGCAGAAGACGAAGTACAAGTGTTCCCAATCACTGTAGGGAAAGGGAAGAGCGAAGTTACTTCCAGTCGGCTCGAACAAGAAGTGGCCCAAGTTGGATCGCAAGTGAACTCTAACCCCGTTACCCAATTCGCGGTTCATGCACGGGAGTATGACCTGCCAAGCCTGCCCACAGAGCGAGAGCAAAGTGGTACCAGACTCTGCCCTAAGTAGATCCAGGTTATGGGTTCAAGCCAGCCAGTTACAACCGAGACTCTACATCGGCAGAGACACACACAAGTAATCGGCAGGACCCTACCACCACTGAGCCAAACTCTATACCTTACTATAATCTGCTTCAGATCGAGAGCATCTTCAAAGAAACCTTGAGCTCACTTGGAACAACCCTGAAAGAGTTCATGCTGCCTCGACTAAATGATACGGTGATACACAGTGAGCACTTTGGTAGTCCTGGATCTATTCTTGCAGGTTTACACTGTAAACCATACACCCTCCAAAAGTTCAGTTAGTGGTCCAACGCCTGCTACATTCGCAAATGCAAAGCCTACACAGACTTGCACCTGGATCTACCGATAGACTTGTGGCTTTGGGACTTGTTACTACTACCGCAGCAACTGATAAGGTGTCCGCAGTGCTGACATGTGGTGAATGCAGTTTGCCGATAGCCTCAATAAGGACCACCAGCAAACTTGCACATGAAGATTCTAAAAATGACCGTCACACCTCAGTGAACGATTCTGAACCAACAGAGGGACCAGTCAGCGAGACTTCAGAACATATGAGCGACACACCTGGTCAACATGCACCAGAGAATGTTGCAAAGCCTGGAGATGTTTTTGTCGGCGAGCCCTTAGACCATACCGTAGGCAAGAAAACAGAAGAACCAGGGGTCAATTATCAGAGAGATGTCAATCAAGTTCCCGTGGAGTCTGCGTCAGACATTGACGAGGAGTTCCAAGTGCTTGCCAAAGTCGTGATCGATACAGAGTATGAGGTTATCACAAAAGAAGACGATACTGGAGATGTTCTCCAGATCCTATTTGACTCAAACTCACCACAACAACCACCCAATAACCAACCTGATGGGCCACATTGTCCTGATCATTTCATGATCAAACAGAAGAAGGACCCAGACATCAGAGACATCTTCAAATATGTAGAGTGGCAAATTACCAGCTGATGATGTCAAAGCTCGTACTAGAAGGTACACTATTTGCAGTCACTGATGGGATTCTCTATTTCCTAGACCCGAAGCATGGGAACCGCAAGCGAACAGTAGTCCCGAAACAGTTACGACGACAGATCCTGGAAGAAACACACTCACGGTTCGGAGGACACTTCTCAGGACAGCACCTCTATTCAGCATTGGCCCTGCATTGGTGGTGGAGAGGAATGTTCAAGGAAGCAGTTGCATTTGCAAAGTCTTGTCCTGAATGCGCAATTGCAATTGGAACTGGCAGACGACTGAAGCCAGCACTTCAGCTTATTCCTGTCTCACGTCCATTCCCAGTTCTAGAAATTGATGTGATGGATTTACCCCTGACTGACAAAGGAAACAAACATGTTGTAGTAGTCCTTTTCAAATGGCCTTTTGCATTTGCTGTTCCCGACCATAAAGCTGAGAGAATTGCCAGACTACTAGCCGACGAAGTTATTCCTTGTTTTGGCGTCCCTGAATCACTTCTGTCAGATCGAGGTACAAATCTTCTCACAAATCTCATGGTTGATCTATGTCAGATGCGGTATCAAAAAGTTGAACACTACGGCCTATCACCCGCAGTACGACGGGGCAGTTGAGCGCTTTAACCGCTCTCTCAATTAAGTTGTTCGAAAACATGCTGCCCGATTCGGTTCTCAGTGGGGTCAGTACCTTCCTGGTGTGTTGTGGGCATACAGGAATACACCACATAGTTCCACTGGTGAGAAGCCGTCGTTTCTCCTGTACGGAATAGACTGTCGGTCACTCACTGAAGCTGCCTATCTACCAGTGAACGAGATCTCCCCTACAGGCGTGAGTGACTATCGTGAAGAACTCATGACTTATATCACTTCCGCCAGAGAACTTACTGCAAGGACTATACAGCTAGATATAAACACCAGTATGATCGTCAGGCAAGGAAAGCCAACCTCAAAATTGGTGATTGAATACCTGTTCGGTTTCTTCAAGAAGAGACGGGACGGTACCGCAAGTTATCCAGACCATGGCATGGACCATACCGTATTGTGGAGAAATCTGATCCTGATGTGGTATGCAGCAAAGTATACTTTCCTCAAGACGGACAGCTTCGTGTACACTTGTCACGCATCTGTTTGTGCCCATTGGACTTTCCTGCTGGCTACTTCTGGTATGGCGGGAAAAGGAAGGGACCAGGACGACCACCGAAGTGGGTGGATAGATAGCTGAGCAAAGGACGCCATACCCAGAGGGAGAGTCCCACTGACAGCGATACGACTCACGCTCCAACTCCTCGTCCAGAAGTGCCGACCGGTGATCAGGAGACAGCAGAAGTGCACAGCGCACATTGAAGAGACAGCGACCCAGAGTCAACGAGCGACCACTCAGACCAGTCAGCAACAACGGAAGATGAGACCCCATCATCACCCAGTACCTCGAGAGATGCTGCAGCAGATGACTACTTTCTGAGCATTGCAGATGAGGAAGAAGCAGCATGCGACAGTGAGAGCGGTGAAGATAAACTAGGCCCAGACAAAGGCGACGGTCAGGCATAGAATGTTGAAGACCCAGGAGAGACTGGACATGGAAACACCAGAGGTAAATTCACGCCAAGTCCAGACAACTCACCACCCAAACCCCCATTGGTTCCACACTCACTGTATTACCAACGACCATTAAAACAAATAGCCTCAGGCACTTTTCTCAAAGCTCGTGCGTAAATATTATCCAAATCCACTTGCTATTTGCTTGCGTAACACATCTAAGCATTGCATAGGCTTGTGAAGGCACACCTCCTCGAGGAGAGGTTCACTCACAAGAATGTTTGGTCACGGACATAATAGCATGACATCATGCAGGGTTGTGTGATGGGGGTATGAGTCTCATACCCTGAATCTGCCTTAAAGGGGGATGACATAAGCGTTGTGTGCTATATAGCAGCATGCAAGGTAGTTGGGATACATTCACAAAATGTGTCATGCACAGAGCTTCATTCTATCACAGTGTTTCACGCCATAACTCTCGAACGCAGCAATTTCAGAGAAAATCCTGTATATATTCGACCTTTATCCGATGCTGAATACGTGGTATATTTTGTAGAGCGATTGATGGTGAGATGTCGTGGAACAGAAAGACAGACAGACAGACAGACAGACACACACGACAACTACAGTTACCTCCGCTGCGCATGCGCGCCGAGGGTTAACTAGGGTTATCCTTGCATTGCAGCTGATGCAACATCCTAAAACATAACACCCACAACAGCATGCGTTAAAAGTATGGCCATATTGGAAGTATATGTTCCTTCTCCTCTACCATGAGATATAAGGTTGGTATTACTATAACTTTTAAGTGTTGCTGTCATTTATAATGTATAAACTTGATCTAGTTATCTTATACTTTGCAGAGAGCTACAATAGTAAAATGTACTTCTGATGGGTCTCTTGTCATAAATTCTCGACATACTCTAGCTGCATCCTATAAAGTACAAGAATATAGCAGGTGACACGATTAGAGCAAAAGTTTTACCATCAAAAAGGTGTCACCACTTGTTGAGCCATGGTTAATGGGAAACGGTTTTCGGCCATCTAAAAAATTGCAAAACATCAACACTTAGCTGTAAGGCATCCTTTGTTGGTGAGCAAGTGAGCCTACCTATTACACTCAACATTGGGATTTTACATTTATCCCAGAGGCATGTGGGGTGCTGTCACAGTTTGTAAACCACTAAAGTGCAAACTGTTGATCACGCATAGTGTACCGCTAATTGATGGGCCAGTTTAAACCAGAGCCAGTAACACAGGCTTGCTGAATTCGTGGGTAGTGTTAATAAAAACACTGAAATGGACACAATCCCCGAGTAACTTCATCTCTACAGAGTGCATTGAAGGGACTAAGCTCGGTCAAGGTAACTCAGTGCTGATAAGGTTTTTTGGTTGTTTTAATTAGCCTTTTTTATGTTCCAGGTTCTCATATCGCTTATAGGCCACCTCACAGCCTCAGTTCCAGAATTACCGCAGACAAACAAAGATACTAAGTACTGTTATCAACCCTCGGCGCGCATGCGCAGCGAGGGTTACAGTACTTGGTTTGTCCGTCTGTCCGTCTGTCTGTCTGTCTGTCTGTCCGTCTGTTACCACGTTTTCTGCCACCACGCGCAACAAACAGGTAAAATAGCGACACCAACGGGTTCAGCGCTACACTGGCTTGATTTTTAAAATGGCGATTTTCGTAAAGTGCCGCGTTCAGAAGTTATGGCGTGAAAACCAAGTGAACAAGCCAATATGCTAATTAGCACTAGTTTACCTCGACCTGATCCGCTTGCTCTGTGTACCTCCTCTGTGTACCTCGGAGGCACAAGAAGTCACAACGAAGGGCGCGTATCGAATCCCGCATGCTATCTACTACTGTAGCTAGCCCGTGTCAGACTCTCCGCGAGCCACTAGCGGGAGGTCACGAGTAAACGCAGACTAATAGGCCCAGCCCATCAATTAGAGGTACCGTGCATGCGCAGTTCATCGAGGGTTTGCACTTTAGTGCTTTTCATTCTAGCAGCAATTGCACGCCGAGGGTTAATAATGTGAGTGAACATCCTCGCAGCAATTGCGCGCCGAGGATTAACAGTATGAGTAAACAAGGCATGCCACCTGACAGCTTCTAGCAAGAGTGCATAAAGCTAGACATCATAATTTTGTATGGTGTGCATTGACTGTAACAATAAATCCATGAGTGTGTAAGTCAAAAGAGTAGATGACAGGAAGTGTTTCGCTTAATCATAAATTTTTGCTTGATCTAAAAGTGAAGGTTGGTGAACAATAGAAATGATACCTTACACTTAACTAGCAGCAAAACTCCTGCTTTATAGTCGAGGTTGCACAAGAACTACAGCATGAAATTTTTTGCATCAGTTAACCTCAAAACTGACGGTATATACCTGGAGGTGACTTTTGTCCTACTAAAGAATCACCAAATCGTGCAATAGCCAGGGTATCTAAAGAATCACCAGCACAATTCATAATTCTCGTGGACGGTGTACTCTACCGCTCTTTGGGAACACGTAGGCTGGATCTGGTCCACCATAAGTGTGCACTTTGCACTTTCTTATTCAGCATAGGCAGTGCGAAATTTGCACCTTCTTATTCAGCGGAGGGTTCTAAGCGGGCTGCGATTCTTGCATCAACTTTTGCACACAGCGGAATACAAGAATCACATTTTGTTTACGTGCAGACAGTTTGTGCTCAGAACGGGACCTTTCACCTTTAATAAACAAAAGTGGGAATCAAAACTACGACTTCTTACTTGCCAGGCAAGGTACAGTGTTGTCAAAATGACGAGTTATAATACATTATATATACAATGGGACAGCCCTCTCGCAGTGGTATTCGGACATAAGAAATCCTCTGTGGTGACACTTACTCACTTTCGCTAGCCAACAAAAGAAAGAGGAAAATTGAAGCCACGACAAGGCCTGGCTGGTTAAATTATGTAGCTGACAGTGCTTGGGATATAGATATAAATATTGCTAACATCTGCACACAATGTACTACTAGGCTGTGTGGCAAGAATATTAATACAAACCTAATTCATACAGGTGCCCTTTTCTGTGAACAATTGCAATAAAGTGTAGGTTCACAGTTTCTTCTGGAGCTGGTGGCTATAGGGAAAAAAAGATGAACATGTGCAATACAGAATAGCATTTCTTGTGCTAGTGTTTTGTAAACGAGCTACAATCTTTGACTGTAGAGCAGAAACTAAAGGAAAACAGCAGTTTGAATCTTTGGGTATACTATATTTATTGCTCAAGAAGAATCTGACTAGGATTGATGCATAAGAGGGGGAGGATACTAAACAACACAGTAAGACAATATGGTACTGGCCTTTATATCTATTACCCTGGCATTTTGCACTGCGGGTAAGTGGAGCATAAACCTGATTTCTCAACCTACAAGCAGCACCGACGTCAGAACGGATGTAGTGGTTTCTCGTAGCAACAGCCGCACCGACCCCAGAAACATTCTAGAACTCTCTCCAGGGCTACTACAAAGTGTGTGTCGTGTACATTGATTTCAGAGTTATTTTGTCATTGTTTGCCATTACCGAGGTTGCTACATTGGTGACCGAGACGTGATCGACAAAAATGACAAAAGAACTCTGAAATCAATGTACACGACACACACTTTAGAGTAGCCCTGGAGAGAGCTCTAGACCCCGAACATCTGGTTTGCTGGTGGAAGCGCAATTTAGTACACGCGGCATCACCTCTCAGAGGACGAAGTATGACTATGTCGTCGCCTCCTCTCTGCAGAGTTCGCTGCTGAGGTGCGAGACCTCATACTTCACGTACCAGAAAACCCTTACGACACGCTAAGATAGCACCTGATCCAACGGACCTGCCCCCCGGGAGCAGCATTGACTGCAGGTGCTCTTAAACACCACGGAGCTTGGAGATCGCAAGCTGTCCCAGCTGTTCCCGTTCCCGTGGAGGACTGAAGGTGCGTATGGGGTGTTTGGGTACATGTATAACTAGATATGGGCCCGTAGACAATTAGTGGTGTTTTGAAGCCCTAGGGAGTCATTGTCGTCGAGATTTGAGACGTTTGTACGCGGATCACATAAAACTTTACCCGTGCCATCCCTATATAGAGCGTATACCGGCGCTCTAAGGTCGTGTAATGCTTTATCAGGAAATCTTGACTACCATTCAGCACAGACTGAAAAATTTCCACAAATAAACCTGCACATCTTAGTGTAGGGAGTACTGTAGGTAAACAAAAGTGGATTCATGGACCAGCAGTGTCCCACTTGTAATGTGTCGCCACGTTTTGGCTTCTCAGTCTGAACTAATCATTACATGTATGATCTATGTAGGCATAACCCACTGTACAATATGGAAGTGAGGTATGGAAGACAATAGGATTAAGACGGCTGCATTACAGTCACTAATGTTTGGAGTGACTAAGCTCGTTGTTTGCCTAGGACAAAGTGGTAAGGGGGGATATGGGATCTGATACAAAGGAATATGTTGAAGTGGGGGTAAAAGCAATGGCAACCAATAGCTTTTAATCAGTACAGAATTGTAAGCTGGAAGAGGTAGGTAGGAGGTGCTCGAGTAAGGCATTCAGGCTTATTAACCCTTGGCTTATTAACCCTCGGGCAGTCAGTCAGTCAGTTCCACGACATCTCAACATCAATCGCTCCACAAACGATACCACATATTCAGCGTCGGATAAAGGTTGAAAAATATGTGGGGTTTTCTCTGCTGCGTTCGGGAGTTGCGGCGTGAAACACGAGCGAAAAAGCCAATAGGCTAATTAGAACAGGCTCACCTCGAGCGGGTCCGCTTGCTCTGTGTATCGATCTTGAAGGTAAAAAAAGTTACAACGAAGGGCGTGCATCGACTGACACAGGCCAGCTACACTAGTACACATGCAAGACTCATACCTCTGTTGTGACTTCTTGTGGCTCCAAAGTACACAGAGTAAGCGGATCAGATAAAGGTCGCGGTCATGCATATTGGCTTTTTCACTTGTTTTCATCCCATATCTCTAGAATGCAGCCGTTTTCCAAGAATAGGTTAGATGCGTTGCCTTGGGAACTACGCGATTTAGGGAGCCGAGGGCCCTGGGCTGTCGGCATCCCAAGCACAGCGAGGGCGCTACTACCAGGGCCCCCGAGGCTCACTAAATCGCGTAGTTCCCAAGACAATGCATCTAACCATCTTAGACTACGCGCAGGTGCTAGCAACGCATAACAACGCACGCTGCATTGAGGATGGACGGCTTCCTGGGGTCACACATTATGGAGCTTTTTGCTGAGGACGAACTGGTAGTAGACAGGCTATTTGCAGCTGCCAGCAGCCAGTTCGAGCAGGCGTACAACAACGACTACACCAGCAAGGCTATAAGCAGCAGTAGAGACTGTTTGTTGTAGGCGGTGCGGCTCGCTAACTCGAAAGTAGGCGGTCGCTGGGCGCTTCTCGCACTGCTAGCGTGCACGTCTGGCTCGAGCTGTAGCTAGGGCCCTGTAGTCATGCACCGCTTCCTACTAGAAGACCGAGTACCTGGTATTTCGTGAGAAAGAACCTCAAGCTCCATTTGCCTTCCTCACGCACGGAATTGAAGGCGTGGTTGCCATGGCCAATACGTGTAAGAAAAGTGGCGCAGGGCCGCAAAATAGTTACCGCAGAAGAGGTAATTAACAAAAATAGCTACCTCTAAAGTCGGAATCTGATTGGTCAATTGCGCGTTACCGTATCTAAGTGAGAGTATACTGTGCCATGGCACAGTGATTTGAGGTTTGCCATGTCTTGTGTGGTATTGTGTTGTAGATTCGAACCCCTACCAGTTGAGTTGATCTGGTAGCTCAGTTGGTAGAGCACTCGTCTTAGAGTAGACCGCAGAGTGCCGTGGGTTCAAGTCCCACCCAGGACAGTTTTGGGAGTAGTTGATTTGTTTGCCTTTGCTTTGACCTCGTTGTTTACATGAATATTGTACTTTAGAAATGGAAGTTGTTTTGTCAAGTTTGGAACACTTACTGCAGTGTCTCCTTCCAGAGCACTTGCTTCATGGGCATCAGAGAGATCCTAAAAATGGATGCCGGTTGTACAAAAATGTGCTTCACAGAGACAGAAACTTGTACTTTTCACATTAAGGTCCATACTTTACACATAGATACATACCAAAATTATCACCAATACTTTGTAATACGGATGACGTCCTGCATTATGCCCATACATTTGAGATTTGCACATTTGACTTTCAGTTTAACGCAACTTCCGACATATCAGTCTGATTTGTATCGTCAAAAAAGCATGAAATGGGCTTAAATCGCATAATCGGTAATTGAATTATTCAAGAAAGTCAGTTTTCAAAATTCTTGGTGATGTTGTTCAGTTTATCAAAAACCAGGTAAGATATGGATATGAAACTTTGGGAATTCTTGACACGGCGTGCGATAACATTTTAATAATAATAATTTAAACAACAAAAAAACAACAAAAATAGCCCCAGGTCATACATTATGATATAGACCAATAAAGTGTTTTAACTAGTTAATGCCAACACCCAGAATAACTTGCTACACTTTGTGCAGTATGTTACATCTTCAAACTGACATTTCTTGCTCGTATAAATTTGATTCAAAAGCCCTGTATTGTCGCCATTCCTATTCATGACATGAGTTTCATTAATGAATGATGTAGTGTGAGAAGAGTGGCAAAGGGATTCTGTATAGAAAGCAGCAGTGTAAAACTGGTTTGTTGAGCGAACATGGAAGTCATAGACGACAAAATGCTGTCACGATTCAAAACTGGGGACCTGTCAGAGAGGGCATTGAGCGAACATGGAAGTCATAGACTACAAAATACTGTCACGATTCAAAACTGGGGACCTGTCAGAGAGGGCATTGAGCGAACATGGAAGTCATAGACTACAAAATACTGTCACGATTCAAAACTGGGGACCTGTCAGAGAGGGCATTAGCTACCGGTCTTATGTGCATAGGAAACGAGTCATAGCTGCACATCATACAATAGAGATCACTTGTGCTTTGCGACCATATAGGGCTTGTGTGGAGTAAAATGTACACGAGCAAGAAATGTCAGTTTGAAGATGTAACTATCATCCCATTGTACTAATGCATCACATGCACTACATCTCTCTCTCTCTCTTGTCTCCTTGCTTTTTATGGCATCCCTGTGCTCCACACTTTTTCAATTACTTGTCAAATGTCATATGACAACATGGCTGTTCAGTAAAAGACCTTATGCAAATCATTATTCACTTGGAGGTAAAGATGACATGGCCAGACACATACTGTTCAAGACCACTGTTTTAGACTGCTGGCCATAGCTATATCCAAAAACTATACTGCTTGTACCAGAGTAAAGGAAACTTATAGATATAAAGATATAACCGAGATATACCCTTATAGATATAACCCTCACAGGCTCCATCCTCAGTGTACAAAACTGAACGAAACACACACAACAAAGAGAAATGCAGGACCAGAGTGACAGTGGAGTGACTCTAGGAATGCAGGGGACAATGAAAGGTGAGAATGGTGGAAGGAGTCTAAGGGCGACAGATGGGAATTTTGAGGGCCCTTGGTAGGAATTTTCCTCGGCCTGGGTGTATGGCCATCAGTCGACAAAACAGAGACACCATCCCAACTTACGTATTAGATGGTGTTTACCCCAAGCATGCTCAGCATGGCAGATTTCTCGGTCTCACACCTCTCGGTTGGCTTCACGGTTTTGTTTTTACTCGGAATGAGAAATGAGAATAAGTGAGAATGTTGGAAGGAGTCAAAGCTCCCAGATTACGTATTGTATTTGACGGCAATTACCTCGAAGCTCACCGACACAATGAGCCACAAAACACAAAACTGTGTGACGGGTGATGGAAGTCAGGGAGTTACATAGTCGAATCCAGGAAACTACAGCATTAGAGAGCCACAGGGAGTTAGCCAACATGTGTGACTGTGCAACAGAGAAGGCAACAATGTCGACAAGAATGGGATGGGGATATGCAGGGATTACAAACAGATGGTGAACACACTCGATACCCGCGAGCCCACACACAGAATGGGTAATGAAAAGCACTAGAGTGCAAATGCACCGCGGAGACGCGCGTGCTTGCTAGAGAAGTGTTCCATGTAAGCAAAGACGAGGAAGACCGACCCTACACAGCCTTCTGTGAAAGGCTTACTAAGTGAGGGGCCATCTTTAGCTGTGAAATTACGACTGTTTTGGTCTCAAAAAAGGCTTGGTAAATATTGTCTGCAGAATTTCTAAACATTTTACGGAATATCTCAAGCATGATTGAACAGATTGTGCCTGGCCCTTTTTCAAACTTTACAGGGCTGGCGACAGGGATATAGAAACTTGCGCGCGGAAGTATACATATGTGTTGTACCCTCCTACCAGGTTGCTGATAGTTGGTAACAGGCTAGCACACTGATACTAGATACATGCGAGAGTCGATACACACCCCGCATTGAAACCTCTGGTGCCTCCAGGGTATGGAGAGAAAGTTCATCTGGTCGAGGTAAGCCCGTGCTAATTTACATATTGGCTCGTTCACTTCGTTTTCACGCCGTAACTCTTGAACGCAGCAGTTTCAGAGAAAACCCTACATACTTTTCGACCTACACCTGACGCTGAATACGTGGTATTGTTTGTGGAGTGATTCACGGCTCGTGAAGTGAGATGTCACATGTCAGGTAACGGGACACACAGAAAGACACACAACAGTTACAAGTGTTCGTAAACGTGTTTTCCATCCCAATCTTGTGTGCCATTTTCACACCATTCCTTTATAACTTCCCATTTTTACATATGACATAGACTGACTACCCCATTGTTACTGGTTAACCCATGGGTGCTCAAGCGGTACGGGATTCCTCCCTTGGACGGTATTGAAAACGGCATCGCGGATATCCCAGTACGCTTCAGCGCCGTGGGCTAAACCGTCAGGCAGTTCAAGTGAAGGTCTACACGCTGCCAATCCCCGCACGCTGCGGGACCGTTCAAAAACGGGCTACGATCATGCTCGGCCTAAGCAATGCCTCGGTGGTGGTGCTACTTCACTGCATGTAGAACAGTAGATCCGCCACACACAGAACGTCCTTTTTTCGCCGTCTCTGTCGGTCGGATACTCATACCCTCCAGCGGGATAGGCTATGAATATCTCCCAGGAAGTGGTCAGGTGCGGGTCAGTGGTACGGTATATACCGGCTACATAGCACTTTCATTTCTATGGCTTCTGGCCACAAAAACATGTAACTGTGTCTTACTGCCAGCAAGTAGGAGTGAAGGTAGTGTTGTCATCATAATTATGTCATGGGGAGGATATGCGTTATAAACCATGCATGCTACAGTTAGCGAGTGAAGAACTGAGAGAAAGTGCCTGAAGCTATATGTTTTTGTTTACAGAATAATGCATACTTGCTACCGTTTGCGTGTTTGAGGAGTGAAGTAATTTACTGAGGCTCTATTAGTTGTTGTTTAGAAACATGCAATACATAATTATATGTATCACGTTTTACCTCATGTCTGCCACTGTTAACAGTAGATATATAATGTTTGAATGTGCCTGAGGCTATTTGTTGCTGTTTACAAATATGTTAAATGATACAATACACATGAGGACCAACTTGTTTACGATGCATGAGACATAATGGTATTTGTTGTTGTTTACCAACCTGCATATTGTTCTGAAGCCTTACAAAATCAAAGGAAAAGTACTACTACAAATCGGGTAGATAGTGCAGTTGCAGCTACCAGATATGATAACATTGAATATTAGTGGTTAGGTGCCACACACTCAGGAAATAGAGAACAGGTCGACAAACCAATTAAAGTCCATCTTTGCTCATATTTATGGAAATTATTGGGCGTGGGAAAAGTTATCGAAGCTCATGTAACACTCGCGCTGCGGGCTCGTGCTACAAGTCCTTCTCGAACTTTCCTCGCGCCCAATAATTTCCATGAGAGTACTGCGCCGCGTACTTCGATAATAGGATACACAAAAATAGTAGAGCTACGATGAAGTGCACCCATGCATATTATTATAACTGAAGTGTAGGAATTTTGAGCATTATGGGATCGTGGGAAGTTAACTGTTTCCATGTGGTAAGTTGTTCCAAACCTGATTGTGTGGTTATTAAGGCTATTAATAAAGATGAGCTTGAGGGAACTTCGGATAGAAACACATGGTTGGTGGTAGTACATGCTCTATTAGGAAATTACTGTACATGAAGCACAAACACAATTATCTGTTTTGAAGGGTTGTTGATAAAGATCCAGCAGATTTTGATGCCTAGTTGCTACGTATACTCTGTTGAATCTGAGATGACCAGCAGAGGTTGCTAGCCAAAATGACATCTAAGTACTTCACATTGTAGTGCTCAATTCAAAAGGGTATAGACGGTTGGATCAAGTAGAGTGGGAGGACGATTATTGAGAAGTAACAAGTACACTTGTATTTTCTTGTTTTAAAAGACATGTTCTCATCTGACAACTGAGATCAATGGTCCATGTCCTGCTGTTATTGTCCTTCCCAGTATCCATGTCAGCTCCCAATAGAATGACAAAGCACAACACCTAGAAATGGGTTGCTGCACTATGATATGCCTGGACGCAAAAGCTACACTCTCGATTAATTGTAGCAAATTGTTATATTAGGAGGACAGCTATTAGAGGTTCTATCATGGATGCTACCTTTTCTCCCTACAGTGATGCTTGGACGCAATAGATAACCTCCCAGTTAATAATTATAGCAAATTTATTACTGCAGTGTAACTACCTCTGATAGGGAGGATACAGTCTCACGTTTTGGCTACTGCAACACTTACTGATTTTCTGACCATTTGATAGGTTCAAGGAAGCTTTATGGGGATGACAATCTAGCATTATGCCCATAATCATATCACACTTCTGATCCGTATGGTTTAAACAAGCATGTACGTCAGCTTTTCAAAACTCTTATTCTTGCTGTGGTTGTTAAGTTTTGAGTGTATCTCAGCAAGATACAACTTTGCACGGAGATTGGGAATCCATGACAGGTCGTGAAAAGAAACTTGCGTGGGGTCCAGCAGCGAACAAAACGTAGCTTTGACGTACCTATACATTGAACTCTCGAGAAATGACCGTGGTGCGCAGCTGAATTAAACCACGAACTAAACCACTTACTGCAGCTGTCTCTATTCCGATTGATATGCTGGCTTTCTCCGCATCTACGAGGTGTGTGCATTAAAAAGGCCGTTTTTAAAGCTTTTGTGGAATCTCATTGGTCAGAACCTTATCGGAGGTAACACATTACAAGATGGCTTTGCTTGGAGTGCACACTCGTGGCTTCAGTTTTGGTAGACCACTCGGGTTACGCCCTTGTGCCCTATCAAAACTGGCCACTCTTGTACAACCCATAGACTACGTGCAGCATCGAATAACGTATACATACAGCACAGTGGGTTCAGGTTTGCTTTTGTGTCGTATTGCGTTAAACCCCTACCAGCTGGTAGCTCATCTGGTAGAGCGCTCACCAAGACTGCAGAGTGTCGTGGGTTAAAATCCCACTTAGGGTAGCTCGTCTTTGTTCCTTGGCAAAAAAGAGCTGTCCTAGGTGTAGTTGACTTGTTTTTTGTGCCTTTGCCTTTCTACCTCGTACTTTTCACATGCATTTACTCAGGTCGGAGTTGGGCGTCTTGGGTGGTTTAATCACCCCTGTCTGCTCCTACATACTGAGTGAGGGTATACTGTGTCATACCACAGTGGTTTGAGGTTTGCCTTTGTGTTGTATTTTGTTAAATACTTGAACCCCTACCAGCTGGTAGAGTGCTCGCCTACACTGTGGGTTGTAATCCCACCTAGAGCAGCTCTACTTTTCCTCAAAAAAGAGTTGTCCTGTGCAGTTGACTTGCTTGTTGTGCCTTTGCCTTTCTACCACGTAGTTTTCACACACACACTAGAGTAGGCAACATACACCAATGTGTCCTTCTGAGTCTATCTCAGTAGCTCAGAGTGCAAGAAGCTAGCTGTTTGGGTGGTCGGGAGTTACGGCTACTCCTTCAAGGCGATCGAGATACAGTAGATTCGGTCGAATTGTCGGAAGTTGTATGTCGTTCGTTTTACTGTCCGTTAGATTCAGCTGTAAACTCTGCTCAGTGGAATAACCTGTTAGGTATAAGATCACGTATGTTTTTGCAGAATGTTCCACCCCCAGTCATGATTGTGGTGCCACTTCTCCTTCGATCTCAGGCAAGATACAACTTTGCACGGACATTAGGAATCCATGACAGGTCGTGAAAAGAATATTAAGTAAACAATGCTGACAAAATAGCCCCAGGATAGGTGTATTACAGACCAATAAAGTATGTAATGCCAATACTTTGAATGATACAACTTTGCATAAATTTGCAAACATTGCTAGTATCTATCACATGTTTGTAAACAAACTTCCTCAGGCAATAAATGAACTGTTCATCAAACATAAAATTTGCCTAAGACAAACAGTCCAGGCAATAAAAACACAGGGCACTAATGCTTTGATGTGCCAAAATATCATTTTTATGGACACCATGTATGTAAATGCAGCAAAAAGAGAGGTAAATTTTGGTGAATTTAGGAAAAAGAAAGAAGACAAGAAAGGGATGACCTAGGGCATGTTATACAGTAGTAAAAAATATGATGGCTACATACTTCAAACTGACAATGTTTGCTCCTATACATTTACTCCACACAACCCCTACGTCGCCACATTTATTCACAAAAGAAATGTGTTAAGTGAGTGAAAGGAGGGCTAGGAATGCAACATTGTTGAGCAAACATGGAAGTCTTAGACTACACACACGGCAGTCACAACTCAAAATGAAGGAGCTGTCTGAAAGGCCATTAGCTACATGCCTCATGTGCTTAAGATATGAGTCTTACCTTCACATAATAGGAGGGGGATAACTCACGTTTTTGGAGGCTTGTGTGTAGGAAAATTTACATGAGAAGTATGTAGCCATCATACATTGTACTGCTGCATCACATGCACTAGGTCATCCCTTGCTTGTCGCCTTGCTTTTATACCATCCCTTTACTAAGAATTCTTTGGCGCACATGAGCGAGGGTTACAGTACTTTGTCTGTTTGTCTGTCTGCAACTGCTATTTGGCACTACGGGCTACAAGGTGGGCAATGAGTGGCTCCAACGGCTTCGGGGCAATGATGGCATGGATATTATAATGCAGAAATCACTGTGTTCAAGAGTTACGGCGTGAAACACAAAAGAAGAACGAATCTGCAAATGAGTACCTCAACTGGTGCTTTCCCACTGTGGGGGTACAAAGTTACTCTGAGAATGAGTATCATTTTTATAAACGACTTTCATTAGCTTGAGTCAGAGCGATAAAACCAACATTGTCTGCAACTGCGTGGCATGGCCCATCCCGTCAATTTAGCGTAGTGTGAAGGGTAATGTCCGGGCTGACTTGGCTGCTGCTACAACAATGCGAGCGTCTTACGCCGAGGGTTTTCAGTTACGTGTGTGACGGGCAGTGCACATACGGCAACCTGGTCTCATACCCAGACCCAACCAATTCATCACATTGAAAAGGGGTCTGGTTACTAATGACCCATTTCTTGGTCCTATATCTTTAAAACCAGATCTCCAATTAGGTCGTAAAATGTCACGTGCCTCCGAAGTCCACAGCAGGCAGGGTCTTGTATGCAACACACACTACAATAGCTGTATAATAAAATTGCAAACTCTGTAGTACCTCATTTTCTTCCAAGTATCTTCCCCTCTCTTTCGAATTCATGTTTTTTGTTTTTTCAAAGAAGCTCTTCAAAAACCAATCTAAATAAAAGTGTCATTAGTAATCACTACCTATGGTAGTACTAAGTATGTACGGATCACAAAGGTTGTGAAGCATCATATTTGTGAAATCAAACTTTCACTGTTATGCAAAACAATAACAACAGTGGGTGTAAGGTGTTAGACCATAGTAGAAACTGGCAGTAAGCAAACCATAACCACAGTGGGTGTATGGTGTAGAACATAGTATAAACTGGCAGCGTGCAATGCCATTAAGTACTTATTTTCACGTCAATGCCAACCAATTTCTACTTAGAATGGCCAGAAACTCCTCTAGTACGTGTTTTGAAAACCAGTGAAAGCTGCTTCCAAACGCTCCCGTGGACAGGAAAAGTAGCTATTCGGTGACTGTCAGAGCTTTCTTGCTACTGCAACAGGCTGCTTTCATGAGTGCTGGGTATGGCAGGAGAGAAAGCAAGCTAGTGGGAAAACTATAAAACTTGCGTGGGGTCCAGCAGCGAAAAAACGTAGCTTTGACGTACCTATACATTGAACTCTTGAAAAATGCCCGTGGTTATGAATCAAAACAGCGCAGCTGGATTAAACCACGAACTAAACCACTTACTGCAGCTGTCTCTATTCCGATTGATATGCTGGCTTTCTCCGCATGTACGAGGTGTGTGCATTAAAAAGGCCGTTTTTAAAGCTTTTGTGGAATCTCATTGGTCAGAACCTTATCGGAGGTAACACATTACAAGATGGCTTTGCTTGGGGTGCACACTCGTGGCTTCAGTTTTGGTAGACCACTCGGGTTACGCCCTTGTGCCCTATCAAAACCGGCCACTCGTGTACAACCCATAGACTATGTGCAGCCATCGAATAACGTATACATATAGCACAGTGGTTTCAGGTTTGCTTTTGTGTCGTATTGCGTTAAACCCGTAGCTCATGTGGTAGAGTACTCACCAAGACTGCAGAGTGTCGTGGGTTAAAATTCCACTTAGGGTAGCTCTTCTTTGTTCCTTGGCAAAAAAGAGCTGTCCTAGGTGTAGTTGACTTGTTTTTTGTGCCTTTGCCTTTCTACCTCGTACTTTTCACATGGGCATCTTGGGTGGCTTAATCACCCCTGTCTGCTCCTACATACTGAGTGAGGGTATACTGTGTCATACCACAGTGGTTTGAGGTTGGCCTTCGTAGGAGACTGGATAGAACATCTTACATATCACATTACATCATTGTTACCTAATGTCATGCGCACTATTGATTGTACACGGCTGCTTGAATCATTGTGAGTCAGACACGTAGTAGGGTGAACTGGCGGTCTCTTACATGGCGCTGCGAGCATCTGGACGGACCTAAGCGATCCTCCCGTCATGTCATACGCCTTCCGTCAAGGCGACCTACCTAAGCTCGACCTGCAAGTCGACCGCGGCACTGATTTCGCCGCCTGGAAATCTCAATGGGAAGCGTACTTTAGCTTATCCAGCCTCGAGAGCCAGACACCAGCAAAACAGGTCCAAGCCCTCACACTTTGTTTCTCCCGTGAAACTGTCACGATCGTCGACAACTTGGGACTAACAGCCGCCCAGCGTGGCAAAGTCAAAGACGTCATCGCTTCGATAGAACGGTACGTCCAAGGTCAGCGTAACGAAACCGTGGAACACAGGAACTTCCGCCGACGGATGCAGCAACAAGGGGAGATGTTCGATGATTTCCTTGTATCCCTCCGCGAACTGGTGAAAACCTGCAACTTTTGTTCAGACGCGTGTGCCCAACAAGGCATCCGCGAACAAATCATTGAGGGCCTGCTCGACGGCCAAACAGTAGAAGACTTGCTAAAAGAGAAGGCCCTCACCCTCGCGTCAACGGTATCCAAGTGCCGAGCCCATGAAGCAGCCAAACGCCAACGCCAGGAGATCACCGGGGGATCACAGGAACCGGGCGTTCAAACACTCCGGAGAACACGCCCCGATCCCAAACAGACCCCACCTCCCTCTAAACAGACTTGCCCAGGATGTGGGGCACCATTCCACCCTGGAGCAAGCAGTGCCCAGCCTTCTGCCTGGTATGCCACATGTGCAACAAGATTGGCCACTTCGCCAAAGTATGCAAATCACGCAAGCCCGCGGAACCCACACCAAGTCGCAAGGAGGCGGATCCATCTGCTCAAGCCGTATCCGTCCCTACTCCAGTGCCCAGCACAGTGAGGGCCTCCACAGCACGCCCCCAACACATCGACTCAGCCCCCAAAATCGCCGTGCGTGTATCAAACCCCAATGGTTCCGCCACTGTCAAGGCCCTACCTGACTCTGGAGCTGATATCTCTGTTGCTGGGACAGACATCGTACAGCTGCTTGGGGACCACACAGACAACCTACTCCCTTCGCGCGTAACCCCCCGTACTGTTAGTGGCCAGAAGATGGCTCCAATTGGCACTCTCCCAGTCACCATCACACCAGGAGGTACCACACAGGACGACATCATCTACATTCACCCCAACGTCAAAGGACACCTACTATCGTAGAAAACCTGCAAAAACTTACATATCCTCCCCGATCGATACCCATCCCCACTCGACCCACACGTTGCAGCCACCTCGACCACACCAGACCCCACGCCATCACAGTCACCCCTCATCACATCCGAGGAGATCATAAAGGAGAACCCATGGAGGGAGAAAAGTTTCACATCTCCATCGCCGATGATGCAAAGCCCTTTTGCGTCAAGACGCCAAAGGCAGTCCCTTACGCCTACCGAGACAAGCTGAAGGCAGAGCTCACAACATTGCAAGATCAGGGCATCATCGCACCAGTGACGTACCCCACCGAGTGGTGCGCACCCATTGTGGTTAAGCCAAAGAAAGACTCGGACAACATCAGACTTTGCGTCGATCTTTCACACCTAAACTGATACGTCAGGAGGGAACGCTACCAATCCACCACCCCGGCACAAGCAGTGGCCGACATCGCTGCAGAGAACGCAAAGATCTTCACAAAGCTAGATGCCATGAAGGGTTACCATCAATGCCCTCTAGACAACTCAAGCCAAGACTCACCACTTTTATCACACCATTTGGTCGATTCAAATTCCTTAGAGCCCCTTATGGCATCTCGTCAATCTCCGAGCACTACAATCGGCGAATGGATGAAGCCTTCAACGGGCTCCTCGGGTTCAGACGCGTCGTGGACGACATCGTTATCTACGACAGCGACCCCGCCCAGCACACACACCACGTGCGTCAGTTTCTCCAGCGGTGCACCGAAAAGGACATCACCCTCAATGTGGCCAAATGGCGTTCGCCCAACAATCCGTCACCTTTGCCGGATTCTACCTCTCGTCAGACGGCTACCACATTGATCCCTCCATTGCCCATGCCATCACCAACTTCCCAACCCCGGCTAACCGCACGGACCTTCGGTCATTCGTCGGACTAGTCAACCAACTCTCCTCCATGACAGCCATGGTTACCAGCCTCTTGCCACCTTTTCGCCCACTCCTTAAGACCAAAAACGAATTCATTTGGTCGGAAGAATTCGGGACCGCATTCCACACCGTCAAAGAGTCGCTCACATCCGCCCCTACGCTGTCATACTTCGACCCCACCAAGTCTACGCGTCTATGCACTGACGCAAGCCGCCAGGGCCTAGGCTTCGTCCTCCAACAGCCGCACGACGTCATCTGGTCCGTCGTCCAAGCCGGTTCCAGATTCCTATCAGATGCAGAGTCCCGATATGCAGTCATTGAACTGGAACTCCTGGCTGTCGCTTGGGCCATTAAGAAGTGCCATATCTTCCTCGCCGGCCTCCCCCACTTCATCGTACTCACAGACCACCACCCACTCATCCCGATCCTCAACAGCCATCGCCTCGACGAAATCGAAAACCCTCGCCTCCAGCGCTTGAAGACCAAAATCATGGGTAACAGCTTCACAACGGAGTGGGTCAAAGGGGCCCTAAACAACGCCCCGGACGCACTGTCTAGGAACCCCTCTGCAGATCCCTCACCAGATGAGCTACTGGCTGAACGGGACATTGACAACCTCAAAGCAGCAACCACAGTTGACATCAGAGCGATCGTAGGTGGAGATCAGGATAGTCCCCACCTGCAAGACCTACGAAAGGCAGCAGAAAACGACCAGGAATACCAACAGCTCAAACACTTCATCCACAATGGATTCCCAGATCACCCCCACGCCTTACGCGACGCCTGCAAGAAGTACTGGCATATATGAGCACAGCTATCAATCGACGAAGACCTCATCGTTTACGGCTGTCGTCTCCTGGTACCAACCGCCCTTCGCCCCAAGACATTGGCCCAATTGCATAGTTCACATCAGGGGATGGTCAGGACAAAGGAGAGAGCTCGGCTCTGCGTATACTGGCCGGCATCGACAATGACATTGACAACGTCATCTTGTCATGTCAGCAATGCCAGGACACACTGCCATCTAACCCTCGGGAACCCCTGATCCCCAAGCCATCGCCGACCAGACCATTCCAAGAGTCTACAACGACGAGATGGACAGACTGGTTCCATTCAAAGAGATCACTGTCCACTTTCTGCCAGGGCAAGGCAGGTAGAGGGGTTGAAGTGAGTGCTTGTGGTCACTGTTTTTGAGCTTTCAAACACTGTTTGCTGTTCCAATTGCTTTGAAAGCCGGCCACCAGTTTGATTGTCAAGTCAGCTCTTGACATTTGGTTATGCCTTGTTGTCCTCTATTTTGAATTTTGCCGAGGAGGGCTCTCCTTGCAGTGGTGGAAGGATGACAATACACCTGCCTGTGAGCAAAAGACCTTCCTGTACTGACAGCTCCACTGAGACTGCAGTATGCTTTGACTTAAGTAGACACATTATCCTTCTCTGGCCAGCCTGATCTATCCTGTGCTGGCATGCACGGTTGGACTTCTGGCATTCACGTATCTCTGTCAGTCGTTGCTCTGCCGCTAGAAGATATCAGATCACAAAGTCAACGTATGAAGGTATATAGCTATTCCTGGTTTTTGGAGCTGGACAGTGGTACCAACGGCTTATGGCTGGTCTGGATGTGGAACTGCAACCCAACCAGATAATCCGAAAGCCGTTAACATGCCATGGTGAAAGCTAGCGCCTCTTTGTCAATATGAGCGTATCTCCTCTCAGTTGGTGTCATGGCCCTGGAGATGTAGGCAACAGGTTGCAATTCTCCTGACTTCTCAAGACTGTGCAACGATGCATCAGCTGAAAGCAGTCTCCAGGTTTGGGTCAAAGAGTGCAAAAACTCAACTGGCAGTGAGGAACAATTTTGTTGCTGGATGCGCAGTGGCAGATATGTAATGCTCGCAGCTGCACAGACCGGCAGGTTTAGCGCAAAAACACAGGCAGGCAGTCTCTGGCGGAGACTCAGCTGGGCAGAACGGCATTATCTGTAGCTTGTGTTGGCAGCATTTCATTTTTCTCCCTCCCTCCCCCGTCTTTTTCCCCTCATTTTGTTCTATTTCTCACCTACAGGCATCTCTCTTATTTCACCCATTCCTCTTTGCCCATCTTCGGATGTGGCCTTCGTGCAAGGGTCAATTGTACTGGCAGAGGGTCAGCCATGCTGGCTGGATGCCCCATGCTCCACCCTCAGAAAACGGGGTGTGGTGCAAGGAATGGCCACAAGCATGCCACTAGGCCAATTAGCAGTGGGGCAAGCTTTGCATGATACATAGGTAATATGCTTTATAACAGGGGTAAGCCTCCAGCAGGGAAATAAGCAAAAAAGATTAGGGCCCCTGTAATTTAGCAAAATTGCCCCGCAACATTGACCCAAATGTTCTCTTTCACCAGCAACTCTCGCTGAGTGATTTCCGCGACATTTGGATTGCTGGTTGACCATGACGAAGAAACAACGGACGTCGCGGACCTTCACTGGAATTGGAAATTGAACAATGGTGGAGACCTTGTTCGTTTGATTCCTTGGCTGTCAATCACATGTTCAATGAACTCGACTGGGCAAACATACACTTCTCGAAGTTCTGGGTCATGCCCAGGTTGCCCATAAGCTGTAGAACAAGTCACACTCGCTCGGCTTGCTCTTCTCATGTTGTTCCGTGGACTATGATGTCGTCCATCAGGTGCACAGTACCAGAAAGCCCACTCTGAGCCTCTGACATATGTGAAGTGATAACACACGAACGGGAGTGCAGATTCAGGAAAGAGGGGTATCTGCCAGAATCCCGAGTTTACATCCAGCTTGGTGAAGACATTGGCTCTAGTTAGGTTATGTAATAATGACCTAATCTTTTGTACATGCACTGTCAATACTACTAAAACAAACTACTAACACTTTCAACAAGCCACACACCTTTTGATAATGCCACAAAACTACCACTTCAGCATAATGCATTTATGCTTGACATTATTGCACCAGATGCGATCTCAGAGACCCAAATTTTCCTGGGGGAGAATGCCCCCAGACCCCCCTACCTACAGCGTGCTGCCGCAGCCATCTTTTGTTCCTCAAACAAAACATTTTGCCATCCCTTGAGTCAGTGTCTAAATGAAAACCTGTTAGCTACAACTCCATTCTTCTCCATCTTGTCGAGTCCTTGACAGAAAGTCTTGACCTGAGTACTTGCGCCGTCAAAGGTTAGTCACGGGTCCAGTTGTAGCTTTTCAGACAGAGTGCTTTTTCGGACGCCCACCATGATCCTGTTGCAGGTCATGCAGGTTGCTGTAGCCGCAGTTTTCGCCAGTGCATAGAGGTCTCTACTGGCTTGCCTTCTTCCAGTTGCCTTCGGTTGACTGTTCTAAGATTACATTGTCACTAAGTGTTTGTCGAGTTTGTCCTTGACTGTCCCATAGTTCTTGTGGTCTTCCGTAGCGTAAATGAAAGGATGTCATCGGCCTGATCACCTATTGCATAAATCAGAGTGTTCAACTGCAGCTTTCCCTCTTTCTGCATCAGTCCTGACGCGATCCAGAATGGCTCGAAGTATCTCAGCCCCTCTCCAGGAGTGAAAGGCTCTGGTATCGAGCGGCGTGGCTGTCGGTTGCGTGCTTGCTTGGTAGGTATTGTGCTGCGTCCACGTCTGGTGGTTTAGTCGACATTGTCGGATGATATCACTGCCACTATGTAGTAGCTTGTGCGTGGAAGGAGCTTGCTGGTATGCTCAGTACTTCACCAGAGATGTGACACGACAACAAGTCCTGAAAACCTTGTACAACACACTTATATGCACTTGCGCACAAGTACAAGCATACACACATACGTACGTACATACTCTCTGCATGCAAAACCCACAACACCGCAATACAGCAATACATACACCACTGCATTACCCAATGCATGCACTAATACAACACAAGCAACGAAACCTTCGAGAAATGGAACATGTACACAAATTCAAAAGTCAGCCTGCTAAATTATGCAACCGCACACAAACTAGGCTACATATCAGTCCGGTTGAGAAGTGCTTGCACTCATACACCCTCATGCTGGAATGCAATACGTATCCTAGGGCACACCTACACTCAAGCACATAATTCACATGCCACGCCTACCAACCAATACATATCACACTTAAGGTTACATACATACAATGTATAGTGTGTGAGTGTAGGTATATACTGTAACGATTCACAAAACATTATGCAGTAGGGTTTCAAACGTAAAATTAGCTGCATATCACAATACGATAGGAACCAGGGCACTCTGTTCAATGATAAACAAAAATGCACATGAACAAGCAATCCTGGTGATTGTTAGCCGCTGTGCTGTGTGACATACACTAGAACATCCTTTTCTGCTCCCCTTTGCCTCCTATAGTCATGCGGCATTCTTAAAGCTAGGAGTTGACTTGCTAAAGAGCATACACACTTAAGAGCTTTTGAAGGACAGTGTATACATACCAAACGTCAGTTGTTCTTGGCAGTTTCCAAGGGCATGTAGCATTCCTATAGTCCCACAAGCATTTCCGATTGTCTGTTTAATAAAAAAAACCTCATCACTGCATATCTGGCCTTCCTTGTGTATCCTCTCAGTTTCTTGTTCCTCATATTTTTTTAACTGTAATAAAAATAAGAATTGAAGTTTAGGACAAGCACTACGTTCCTTACATACTTTACAAGTAAATAAAAAATCATGCGGATAAAAAAAAAGTGCATATAGGGATCGTATAAAAAGAAAGGGAGACAAGATAGGGATGGTGTTTGCGGAAGCACAGAGATGCTAGCGAGGAGTTAGGACTCCCACAGGTCATTACAACAGCCGTATATCGTCGTACGGTGGGAGTATCTAACATCATAGATGTATGGGGCTATGATAGGGAAAGTTTTCAATCTTCTTCGTAGGGTGGGAGTGGGAGTGATGATAGAGTCTGCAGAATATTGTTATAGGTAATGAAGTACTTACTAATTACCTTTGATAGATTTGTCATGCTACATTTCCATGGAGTGCGAAATTAGGTGGAAGTGTAATCAGCTGACCATAACATTGGATATACATGGAAACATGGAAAAATTGTGTAACACAAGAAAACAAAATTCAAGTATGCAAGGTTGGCTGATATATTCACGAGGAAGTAGTAAAGCACCGATACGACGATATAGGGTTGTTGTAATGACCTGTGGGAGTCCTAACTCCTCGCTAGCATCTCTGTGCTTCCACAAACACCATCCCTATCTTGTCTCCCTTTCTTTTTATACGATCCCTCTTCTTTTAATCCGCAGGATTTTTTATTTACTTGTCTCCTCTTATTTTTATATGCCTGAGCTCTTATCACAGAGCTTGTTGTCTCTTTGCGCATGCCCATCAACCGTGCCCCATATACTCGCGTCACGTGGCCACAGCGCAACTCTTCGAGGCTCAAGCATGGGATGCACATGCATTGGGGCATAATGTCCATATAAAAAGTAACATGTATTTATTGCCTCGGACTCTTAGCCGTCATCTACATTTTTACTTCAGTTCCAAAGTAGATAAGTGTACAAAGTTATAGGAAAAACAGATTATTAATTGCCTGAGGCTTTGTTGTTGTTTACATACTTGTAATTCATGTTTCAATGAACTCTTATCATAGTAAATCGGTGTACCAAGTTTCATTGTTAGAGGACCCACAATAAGCAAGTTACAGGAACAAACACCATTTACAAGTATTTATTGCCTAAGGCTGTTTGTTGTTCTTTACAAACTTGTAGTTTATGTTTCGATGAACTCTCATCGTTGTTAATCATTGTACCAAGTTTCGTTGTTAGAGGACCCACAATAAACAAGTTATAGGCACGAACATCATTTACAAGTATTCATTGCCTCAGGCTGTTTGTTGTTGTTTACTAACTTGTAATTTCTGTTTAGATGAACACTTATCATGGAACATCAGTGTACCAATTTTCATTGTTAAAAGTCCCAAGTTATAGGCAATAATAATTATAGTTCACAAGTTTTTATTGCCTGAGGCTATTTATTGTTGTTTACAAACTTGTAATTTCTGTTTCAATCAACTCTCATCATGGTACATCAGTGTACAAATTTTCATTGTTAGAAGTCCCACTATAGGCAATAATATAGTTTACAAGTTTTTATTGCCTGAGGCTGTTTGTTGTTGTTTACGAACTTGTAATTTCTGTTTCAATCAACTCTCATCACAGTACATCAGTGTACCAAGTTTCATTGTTAGAGGACCCACCACAAGCAAGGTATAGGAACAAATACATTTTACAAGTTTTTATTGCCTGTTGTTGTTTACAAACTTGTAATGTTTACATTTTGATACTAATGATGGGTTGCATGTGTGTACAAAGTTTTATCACTCTGGGTATTAGCTTTACCCAGTTAGCACACTTTATTTGTCTCTATAATAATGTATTACCTGGGGCTATTTGTTGTTGTTTACATGTAAACAAAATGTTTACGAAGAAATAAAAATGCTCTTGCACAACCTGTCATGGATTCCAATCTTTGTGCAAAGTTTGATCTCCATATCTTTCCTGGTTTTTGAGATACGCTTCTTGAAACTGAACAACAACAACAAAAACAACAAGAAGAAGAATAAGAAATTTGAAATGTGACTTTTTTGAATAAATCAAGTACCGATTATGCGATTTAAGCTATTTCTTGGATACATGCTCTTTGTGACGATACAAATTAGTCTGATGTGTCAAAAGTTGGATCTGATTGTAATAGAAAGTGAAACCCGAAAATGTCAAATGTATGGGCATAATGCAGGACAACCTGCATTATGGCCATACATTTGAGATTTTCATGTTTCACTTTCAGTTTGAATAAGATCCAACTTTTGACACATCAGACTGATCCGTATTGTCACAAAGAGCATGTATCCAAGAAAGGGCTTAAATCGAATAATTGGTACTTGATTTATTCAAGAAATTTAATTTTCTAAAATTCTTCCTGTTGTTGACGCGTATCTCCAAAACAAGGTAATATTTGGAGTTGAAACTTTGCACAGAGATTGGAATCCGTGACCCGGCGTGCAAATATAGGTTATGCTGCGCGTCAATGGAAATATGCGATTTAGACGGTGCTGTAGCTGTCTGAGCGCAGCGAAGACGCTACTAAGGGCTCCGAGGACGTCTAAATCGTGTATTTCCATTGATAAGCAGTATAGCCTGTTTAGACAGAGGCCATGTTGGCCGTCAAAATCGTCCAGGTCCGTCGTCTTCCGCGAGACTCGCTGGGGGAAGCTAAAAAGGTCTTCATTTAGTTCCTTTTTGCATCGTAGAGAGGCCTTTCATTGAAGAAGCATCGGATATATATCATGTTGAAGTCGACGCGGCAAGCTCTCAGTGACAGAGCGAGTTTCTTTGCGCGGAAGCACACCCCTAACGAAGACGCCATTTTTTGGCGGGCGTCTCCGTGGAAACACACACTTGGAAAATACGGGATTTAGAATCCACGTTTTACGCAATCTGATTGGTCAATTTGAATCTGCCGACGACTAAGAGTACTTTGTAAACATTTCGTTTACGTCTAAACAACAAAAAATAGCGCCTGGCCACACATTATGATTGGGACCAATAAAAGTGTGCTAACTAGGTAATGCTAATACTCACACATGTGCAACCCATCATTGGTATGAAAATGTAAACATCCACCTCGTTCCCCCGGCTGAAAAACGGCGAGAGTGAGGTGGATTGCAAATCTACAGCTAGGTGCTGACGCTGTAAAGAACCATATTCTCGGCTGTGTAGCCGACACTTTCCTGGAGGAGACCCGAGCAAGGAGCCTCAGCTTAACCTGTGAAAAGAGGCTCCAGGGTCTGTTGCACGTGTAGAGCCACACAGAACACATCAATTCCAGTCATGATACCACAACTATCCTTTCTCAGCCCAGATCTCCGCGCAGCAACTAGCTAGAGCGTCCGTTCTTTTTCACACACACTACGGTAACTGTAATATCGCAAAAGTAACTTATAAATAGAGCATACCGTAAGAGCTACGCGCTACGCCGCTCTAAGTACGGACAGTTCCATTTTCTCCGTAGAACGCAATACATTGCTGGAGCCAGAACGGGACTCCGGATGTGACGTCACGTTCAATTTAAAACTAATGCATTCCTTGTGCCGTTCGTGAAACTGGTCTATTGTGATTTGTTGTCATTGAAAAAAAACCACATGATATATACTTTGCATAAGTGTTGGAATTCGTGACGTACCACACAGTGCGAATTCTAGGGTTTGTTCTTCACATGTAAAACAGACAATAAACCTTTGCCACATGCAATACAATATGATACGTTCTCAAACGCTTATAATGACAACTTAATGATGCAAAAAAGGGAAGGAAAGGAGATAAGAGAGGGATGGGATACATGACCATGGTCTGAACCAGCCTCCATCGACAATCCCTATATTGTTGCCGAGTGTGTAGCTCAGCAGTGGTGGCTACTCAGAATGATGACATTTCCACTCCGTTAGTGTTGTGATAGTGAATGTTAAATTCATCACCTAGGCAAGAACATAGGGATTGTGTGTGGGGGGGGGTGTCAGCGCGCTCCAATCTGTTTATGATGTATCCCATCCCCATCTTCTCTTCCTTCCTTTTTTTCAATTTAGATTATGTCTCCTATGAACACCTCTGAAAGGGGGCTTTCCCTCTACAAAATCGTTGAATACGGGGTTGGGAAGCAGTCCAAGTACTTGAACCTGTTTCCCAGGGAATCCTGTTTGACATATACCAGCTTGTAATGCTCACTGCTTCGGGTTCAGCTGCCTAATGGTGTATGACTGATGGGAGCTCACCTGGTCAACACCCACCCTATCATTGCGCTGGTCGTTTCATTCACTGTCTCAATGAAAAGCACTAAAGTGCAAACCCACGGCGAACTGCGCATGGGCGGTACCACTAATTGATGGGCTGGGCTATTAGTATGCATTTACTCGTGGTCTCCCGCTAGTAGCTCGTGGAGAGTCTGACACAGGCTAGCTACAGTAGTAGATAGCATGCGGGAGTCGATACACGCCCTTCGTTGTGATTTCTTGCGCCTTCAAGATACACAGAGCGAGAGGACCCAGTCGAGGTAGGCCTGTGCTTATTAGCATATTGGCTTGTTGTCGTCCTAACTTTAGCATGCAGTACTTTTACGAAAATGGCCATTTTAAAAATGAAGGCAGTGTAGCGCTGAACCCGTTGGTGTCGCTCTTTGGCCGGTTTGTTGCGCATGGTGGCAGAACATGGTAACAGACAGACGACAGACAGACACACAGACCAAGTATCGTAACCCTCGCTGCACATGCACGCAGAGGGTTAATTTGATGCGTCAGAGACTGTTTTCATCCACATTTTCGTAAAGCCAGTTGAACGCTTTTAGCTGCTTGACCTGAGTTCGTCCATGTTTACCAGGATCTGCCAGATCGTCTTTCTGTTCTTACTTTTACTGTTGACAATAATGTAGAGCTGTGCGTCTAGCGGCAGAATTGGTTAAAGAAAAGTTAGGTTAGTTGCAGCCTCGCCAGCAGAAAATCTCACTGAGTGAGTTCGTCAAATCACACCTCATGAACAAGGACAGGCGTTTCTGCAATGAAGACTAGCACATCTTCTATCTCTCTGGTAAAAGGAAATGTGGGAACTTGCAAGTGGCGCACACAATATACTCAAGGGCACACGTCAGCATGTAATACCTGTGGGGTTTCATTTATCGTGTGTTCCAAGAATGAGGAATGAGGTCGAGGCCAATCTGTTAAAGAATATGTGTGGCTTCAACCAGTACTGGTACCAGTACTGCAGAGTATGACAGGCTCAAGATAGCCACCTACCAGAGGAACATGAACGGTGTGAGTGACAGCTACCCCATTGGTAGGCTGTGCACAGAGGATCCAATCCCTGTGCTGAGAAAGTTCTTACAGAAGTTCAAGACTTCTTCAACGATGTCATTTTCAAAGGCCAAGGACTAGGCAAGGTGGCTCACTACTTCTACCAGAAGGAGTACCAGGCCAGGGGAGCACCACACTATCACGTCATCCTGTGGATAGAGAGCGCCCCTGTAGCTGGCAAAGATGACGACGATGTGTTAATGCAGTGGATCCAGGAGATGATCATCAGCCACATCACCAAGGAGGCAAGCAACCAACAAGCTGGTCACCAAGTATTAGTACCACAAGTGCAACAAGTACTGCAAGAGAGTGAAGAACACCTTCATCACTCGCTTTAGTTTCTAAGACAGACAGCAACAGACAACAGACAACATTGTTTACTATGAAATAAGTACCCACACATTACAAATATCTCTGTTCCTACAAAATTCCACTATCCATACAATATTCGTTTTTGAGCCTTTCGTTTTGAAGAAGATTAACAAAACTGCCCATCATAGCTCCATACATGAATGATGCCCATCCCTATATACTAAGTACTACCGTACTTAGTGATACAACACTAAGACAAACTTTAAACCACTGTGATATGGCACCATATACTCTCACAGGAGACAGGGTAGACATGGGAGAGAATTGATTTGAAATTATGAAAGATGGGAAGTGGTATGTGGGACAGATGAAAAGCATGTACTAGCCGTAGAAAAAAGAAAAGAAACCAGAGCACACCCCCATCAAAGTACACAGCATACTTCCACATAAAAAAGTAAGACACACTGTGCCCAGCCTTGAGAACTGAGGCGGTGGGTTGGAGTCTTTTATGCCAGGCCAACTCTCAATACACACACCCAGTGTCCAAACCTCACGACAAACAACCACAATGGCAGGACACTAGCATTCGAAAAATATATGAGGCAGTAAAAATTTGAAATAGATCTGAACTGTGTAATTACTACATATTCGTACTAGCGGGGAAACATACGCAGGTCCAGATGGGAATATTAATAAACTGCAGGTGTCCCGCTTGTCATATAATGTATCTAAGTACAACAGTTGTGTTTCACATTCCGTAGTTTTCATCAGCTGGAGTTGGGGGGGTACATGTCAGTTATCACTAAATGAAATGTAGCATTATTTAGTGTTAAAATATCTCTCATTGTGTGGATTTTTTAGTTAACACCAACTTTGTTTTTATTTTGCAACTAATGGGGCACAATCCGTTCCCATTGGAATCCCCACACATTGTCTTTAAACTCTGTTGCCTATAGTAACATAAATATATCTATCATACGTAACAAGCTGTTCCTCAGTTACGCCATGTTATGTTAGACCAATATGCTCTTCCAGCATGGTCGGTTATAAGGAACACACTGTCTCATACCTTGTAGGCCTCCTTAATTAAAGTGAATCGTGTGCAATACTCGTAGAAAAATCATAACTATCTAAATGCTTGGCGGTAGAAAATAATGTTGAAAGCACCTGCTGTGTGTTATCTATAATTAAACAGCGAACTCCAGTTCTAGACAAAAATGCCTTAACAGTACCATCTGAAATGGTTGGTAATCAACAAGTGGATAAAGACTTTGTATATAGTGCAAGCAGCTACATATAAACCTTGTATTTAAAAGGCTTTTTGTGTAGGAACAGAGGTAAGCATTTACATTTCAGGCCACCAAGATTTGTCACTTGTGCTGACTTTAAGTATCGCTAAGTACGGTAGTACTTAGTATATAGGGATTAGCATTATGCTAGTATATTATACGTATACCCAGTTCACGTGTCACAGTATAGTCTCCACTCTGAGACTTCCAGATATCATGTCTCTGCTATGCGGAGTGCTCCTCAACCAGTTTGCTACATCACACATTGTAGTCGCATTGATTTCTCTCTAAGAAATATTTCTTGCAAACTACTATCACAATGCTTGATGCTTTAACACCTGGAACCAATACATATTTACTATGGAGTTCCTGGAGAGACTTAAATGCTAAGAATATGCATCTTCCTTCTATGTATTTATGCTTACTCCTAAGTGGCCTAATCATCTTTAAAATACATTCATTGACCTTTCATTCCCATTCACTTAATCTCTAATATCGACTCTTTCCCTCCGCGACCATTTACCTTAGCTACTGCCTCCTTTACCCCAGTTAATGCAGTCCTGTCCCCCAAACAATGGCCCCTTCTCTATCAGGCTTCTAGGTTTAGCATCTCTTACTATCGTAAAGTCTCCAGTAATGACACGTTCTACAGGTGTATATGTAACCTTTACTACAGTCACAATACATATCCTTAGTTCCTCTATCAACCTTCGACTACCTTCTTTTGATTGAATATTCTCCCAGCTATTGTCCTCGTATATTTATAGCTAACTGAGGGAGGCACCCTGTTGGTTATAAACTGGGGTATCGCATCTGTAACATACAATATTCTAGGAAGGTTAACCAGTTCATTACCTTTATCATGGTAGCATATGTTCATAAATCCTATGCATTTTTAGATGGTTATTCAACATCACTAGTCTCCATAATGATACGCTCTCTTCTTGAACGCTATCATACAAACTACAATTGGATCAGGTATTTCATGCTTCAGAAGTCCAAGCTTGAAGTCCATATAGCTTCCATACACTCCTCTGGATTAAACACCTTACATTAAACGTAAAAACATGACTTATAATAACGCAAGCAATGCTCAATGTGCGTCATACAAATCAAGATATCTTGTATGTTTATGGCTATTTCGTCTTCTAAGCTTCTTTTCCTTATTTCATATCCATGTTTTTTACCAACACCTCCATAGGTACAGAGTTCCCTACACCAGTAGTCCTCCCTTTCAAGTCTGTTAGACATAGCACTAACCCTATTAGCCCACCAGTAGGCGTGTCCAACGTCAAATTGCGTCACGTCCGCCCTAACGCACGGAAAATTCCTTCACACCTCTACGTGGAATCCTCCTATATCCAAAAACACCACAGAATACATAATTATTTGAAAACAGTGACAAACAGTCTCAGGCATTATAACCGGTCACTAATGCCCTTTTAAGGGAATTTATGCCTAAAACAATTTTCACACCATGCATCTAAATGCAGAGACAATAAAAGCTATAAAGTTTGGTGACAACAGTTGGATTGTTAATTTAATTCTTTGGGGACAAATATATTTACGTTATTATTCCACGCATTGGGCAAAGCTAGAAATGCTCATGTTCACCACTAAACAAATTACTACTGCATTAGGTGTTAGCTCAGTTGCATGGGCTAGAAAGCGGAAGTATATCCTTTTCGCAGATCTGAGCGGATCGCGTATGGACCACGCACTCGGAATGTGTGTCGCGCCTTCAAATACAAGAAGGCGTGACATGATATATTTGTGCATTAATAATATTGGAGAGGATGGTCTCGGTTAAGTCCAAGAGAGAGGTTTATCCGAGAGAAAATGAAGATGAGCGGGTGCACATGCTCCTCGCGCAACGCGCTGTACTTGCTTTGTGCGTTATGTACATAAAAAGTTTGGACCCCACAGAGTTTATCAAGAGTTAACCGCGGCCCACCTGCATAAAAACCATATGTATAGCTAAAAGAAGCACTTACGCCACAAGGACACACACCAAGCAAGAGATCCTGCCTCACAGTGTCACATAGATGGTACATGTCCAGACCCATGACCAGAAAGGCTGCAGGAAGGAAACAGCCAAGTAGAATGCTTTCACCGCCAACAGAAAGACAAGAGGAATGCACACCGTCAACGGGAAGAAGGAAACTCCCAACCGAGATGTGTCGACAAATGGAATTGTTGCAGGATGAACATTTAGCCGCTGCTCTAGCCCGCAGAGCCGCAGAGCCAATAGAGAATGACGACACTCAGAAACAGATTATGGCCGCAAAAAAGGTGAGCTTTGGGCTTTTCAGCTAGACCGGCACCTTACTTGGAAGGCACATCAGGCTTAGACAGCTCTCCCACCAGAAGACACTAAGATCTACGGTGCTGTCAAGCATGCCATCCTGATATTGTTTGTCATCCATGAGGAGATGTGCTGCTAAACAACTTCTGACCTAACCTGTAGGAAATTTAGGCTGTCTGGCTCGTGTCCCGGACTGTACTTGCTCACCGTCCTGTTGCATTCACAACCGAAATTAGAACGACCTACCCAAGGCAAAAAGATGTCTACCCTGATGTAACTACGCTACACCAGTCTCTCTCTAAGGTCATATGTATGTGTGCAGAGAGGGAGACCCTAGAAACCAATGCTACTATAAATCTAGCCACGCATGCGCGCAATGGTTTAATAGTGCAAACCAAGGTAAGATAAGCATCTGCATGTGAACATCAGCCAGCAGCATTTCATTGAGGTGCAGTATACAACATATTACAAAATATTATACCTAATGACTTTTGGTAAAGATAAACAATGTCAATGGCATACCTCCCTTCATGTGCAACCTATAAGTAACCAGAACATGACCAGAGTATGAAACTTGGTCCTGCCAGAACATACACACAAAATACATGCACAGCACATTATTATTTTCAAAAACCTTCTGGTTGATGGGAAACAGCAACAGGATTGCAACACATGGCTGCGGCACCAAACCTAGTAATTCGTCGTCCAAACCAAACACATCATGAAACTGGTAGCTCATGTTCATCCCAAGTTTAGCAGCATACTGTATCAAGACACAATATATGTAGTTATTGCCTAATGTTTAGAATACCACCATAAAATCTTCTAACACGGCAGGAACACTGTGTTTGCATGTAACACTTATGCATACAGAAAAGGAAGTATGGTAGTATGTACTTACATTGTAGGAATGGGCAAAACAGTGTTATACGCAAAAAAAGGAATTATACCTCGAACCTGGCAAAAGAACAACACGCTCACTACAAAAACGTCACCGTTTTGTGGCATTTCCTGGCTCAGTCTAAGTGCACAAAAATATGTGCTGTACAGAAAACCCACGAACATACCACTAGTTTTATGGGGCTTCAGTACATCACATATTTTGTGCGCATACACTGAGCCAGAAAAATCTGAAGCGTTTTTCTAGTGGCTGGGACGATACCGGCATGTCTTGGAAGGCCTGTGTGTCAGATATGGTGTGTGGTCACGTAACCGGTTTGTTTGATGTCATTTGACAATCTGCAAAGGCCATATTATGCAGAGGGGAGAAGCATGCAAACGACGCAGTGAACGTGTCCGATCTTCTTGACTACCAGGGAGGCAGGCTTCTCTCTTTTCTCGCGAGAGTGGAATTTTTCTCTTGTAGGAGAGCGTTGACTCTTTCAGTTAGAGTAGTGAAGCACGTGACAGAATCACTTTTCATGGACCGTTGGTTACGCTCCTGACGTCACCAATCAACAGTACGACAGCGAAAAACCCCGACCTCACATCGACGAGTCGGTTTTGTCTGGGTACTTGGATCTTTCAAACGGTTCGACGTATGCCTGGTGTGTAGACTTTATGCACTGACATGCAGTGCATAAAGTCTACGACCTCCCATTTCCTGTGCTAAAGCTCTGAGGATCTCAAAAAGCACCATTTTGTCTTGTTCTGCAGAAGATGCTGGGGAGCAGTACAATTTCACTAGACCAGAACAATATTATCCTAGGTAGTGTTCATGTGATTCAAATTTCAGGACTTAACCTTCAGAATATTTGAACTGCTGCGCTAAATCCTTCATAAAAAGCGTATTGTGGCAGATCGCATCACGTAAAATAAAAGCTCACGCTTTACTTACATACTACATATATAAAGAAAGAAGAGAAAGAAGTGTGAGAAGGGCTGCTGGGGCTTCACTTGATATCTACAGAGATAAAACATAAATACAAACCGAGGGCTAGCAAATCAATTTATATGCGCACGCAAGAGCTAGTAGAGAACGTTAGCATGATGAGACAGACATGTATGACTAAATGTGAATGACAGACAATAGAAACAGTATACAAGGTATCAAAAGGATAGTAGTGAGACATATTATTTAAAAAAGCATCCAAAAATAGCAGTATCGCAAAAGGTAGAAATGTACGTATGACATTAGGTATACCAGGATCTACTGTAGCAATTAAATCATCATCTTTGACCACACAAAAAAACAGTGCTTCACCAACCTTGTTCATAACCTGCAGAAAGATGTCATAAAACATTAATCTTAAAATATATAATCTCTATAGTTGGTACTAATTGAGTGTTAACCACTATATTAATCATGTGTACTATATGCAAAGTTGTGTTGCCATGAAGAGTAATTCCAATTAGCTAATAAAAATGGTAAAACATAAAATGGAAGGAGACAAGACAGTGATGACTAGTAGATGTGATGGAGTGGCATACATTCACAGGCGTAAGTTTCTCAAACAAGATTGTCACATTACAGTGCTTCCTGGGACGATGTGTACATGAAGCAGCAAAATAACAATAGAAAAGTGTACCATTTATGTGACACTTCCTTATCAGGTAATTCAAGAGTATAGTGAATACAACTGCCTCTTAAGAGCAAAGAAGCAAACTGCAGGGAAGTGATAGCTTGCTCACGGCAACAGGTTGTTGAATAGTCTTACCCTTGTGACCACATAGGCTATGTTGGCACAGTTGTGACGTAATGGCCGAGGGCCGCAATCCCATGTGGCACGGTCCCACACAACAACTAATAATTGTGGTACATGGGAGAGTTCAGCCCACTGTCACAGATTCTTGCTTGTCTTATGCAAATAACTTAAACATGTAGATATCTGTAAAAGACTGGAAATACTTTACATTACTACCCCTATATTGCTTGTTATTTCACCAGTATGAAATGTAATACTACGTTTATCTTTTTGCCCCCTATAATACCCATCCCTATCTTGTCTCCTTTTCTTTTTATACCATCCCTCTTCTGGTCAGTACTTTTCTGTTATAAATTGGGTAACCAACAACAAATTTCGTGACTCAAAATGTTGTCTTTTATGAAGTAACAAGGCATTTTTATATATGTACTATCTCTGTGAAAGGGGGCAAGCTGAATACCTTCCAAACATTATTTTTGGTTGTGTGTGAGACCTTAGGCTGCAAACCACGCAACAAGAGTATCTTGGCACAGAGGTAACGGATTGAAGCAAATCAATGAACAAAAGGACAAATATCGAGATTGGGCTGACTAGTATGTCTGGCGAGTCAAGGGCGCTAAAGCGTTCCACAAAACGCATTGAACCAGGTTTTCCAGTCTCGTGAGGTGCAGACCCCGACTCAGCTACAGTGGCAGGTCCGGCGGGATGACTGTAGGGTGAAAGGAGGAGTGTGGTACCTGCATGAAGAATAGGTGGAGGTTATCGCGAGACAGTGCATCTGCTGCAACATTAGTTGCCCCTGGGGTAGGCTGAGCAGAGACTCCTAAGTCGAAGACACCTCAGGAGGTGTCACAGGAGGGGGCTGTAAGCCAATTGTCAGCTGACGAACTCGGCGACTGCCTCAGTGGCACAGGCACTTCACTGTCAACTCCTGCCATGTTCGTCCCCACAAAAGGGACGCCAATACAATTGGGAAAAGCTCCTTCGCTGCTACAATGTACAAGCCGTACCACGGAACCTGAAACCACCGTGTTCTCCAGTAGGCCCGGCACCCCCAACTGCCTGAAGCGTCCGATCAACTGGTAGGAGGAAGTCAGGGTTACGAATCATCACAACACCATTTCATGAGCGATGGAAGGTGTACCAACTACCACCACTCAATGTCGGCTCTGCACTCCGCATTCAGTCTGATGAAGTAGTGCGGCTTGAAATGGCTAGTACTCACCAACAGATCATAGGTGTTCCTCAGGAATAATCTGCCAGCATGAACAACGCACGCCGTATGCTGTAGGGTCCCCTCCAGGGACTCGAGGGGTCTCCGAGTTCCGGAGCAGCATTCGTGCCACATTTAGAGAAGATATCCTAAGCGCTGCAGTTCTTCTTCCTGTAACCTTAGCATCATGGCCACCGTGTGCATCTGTATACCGATAATGGTCAAACGAGATGCTGGGCCCTCTGTCTCATCGCAGGAAATCATTGACAGAAAGGTACGCACACATTTGTCACACTGTGGTGCACCAACGACAATGAAGTGTCAAATATCCTCTGCACCCCTCTGGACTGCACCAGAGCATTGGCGACAGCTGAGAACACAAGGGGTGCTGACCGGAGGCGAAATGGCAGAACGCTCGATGCTGCCACATTCATGCAGTAGAGGCCGTCACAATGCTAGTTGGCCCAGATGACTGTTAAAGCAGGGGCAAGCAACGTCACGGACGCCACTGCAGCAGTATAAACTATGAACGCCTGCATCCAGTCAGTAGTGGTTGAGATGTTGAGTCTGCGACGGTGCACCACTTTGTACATCGGTAGCAGGGAGAACCTTAGTGCTTTTCATTGGTATTAGCATTATAGTTACACACTTATTGGTCTGTATCATAATCCAAGAATGGCTAAGGCCTAGCTTGGAGGCTGAATGCTATTCAAGGTTGTATGAGGAGGATGGAGGCGACTGAAGCGTGTCCTTATACGTAATGCATTGCCCTTCCAATACTCACCCATCAGCTGTTGTAATACTAGTAAATTGACCTTTTGACCTCGCTCCGCGCATGCTCACTCAGTCCCTCCAACGGCTCGCCACGAGAAGGTCTGGTTATTTTTCGCGGAGAGAATTGGAGAGAAAGGAGGCATGACTGGCCAAGTCTAACGTTCAACACGGATGCTCCGGGCCCACTCTTCCATGTGCTCCATCGTGTGAACCGAAATTCTCCATTGGTGTGGCGCTGTGTACCCCAGTGTGGGTGGCGACCCTCAGGTTGGAAGCTTTTCCTTTGGTTTTGGTCGCCGCTCCCGGAAAAACCCTTCGAAGTCTTCCTTGGTATGGAGCCTTTAAGAGCTTTGACATTGTCGGCTGTGGATTTTGCCTTTGGAAGCGAAATCCTTCCCAAACAGCAAAGGGCCCCGGTCAGAGAAATCACCTTCTGCCAAGGACTTTAGGTCACTATTCAAGTGCTTCAAAAGGACCTTACTACGTTCCTTCGACAAGTGGGCTGTTGCATTGCCAGCTAACCTGATGGGTATTTCTAGCAGAGTAACCAGCTCTTTTGGTTGTGCACTTTCCCTTCTTCACACGATGGAGCACATGTAAGATGAGCATGCGCGGTACCGCTAATTGATGGGCTGGGCGATTAGTAGTAGTGTTTACTCGCGGTCTCCTGCTAGTAGCTCGCAGAGAGTCTGACACGGCCCTGCATATAGCATTCAGCCTCCAAGAGGCCTTAGCCATTCTTGGATTATGATACAGACCAATAAGTGTGCTAACTAGTTAATGCTAATACCAATGAAAAGCACTAAAGTGCAAACCCTCGGCGAATTGAGCATGCATGGTACCTCTAACTGATGGGCTGGGCTATTAGTAGTAGTGTTTACTCGCGGTCTCCTGCTAGTAGCTCGCAGAAAGTCTGACACAGGTCAGTTACAGTACTAGATACGTAGCATGCGGGAGTCGATAAACACCCTTCGTTGTGACTTCTTGTACCTTCTTGTACCTTCAAGATACACAGAGCAAGCGGACCCGGTCGAGGTAAGCCTGTGCTAATTAGCATATTGGCTTGTTCACTTGGTTTTCACGCCATAACTTTAGAACGCAGTAGTTTTAAGAAAATCGCCTTTTTTTTTAAATCAAGCCAGTGTAGCGCTGAACCCGTTACTATCGCTCTTTGGCCGGTTTCTTGCGCGTGGTGGCAGAAAACGTGGTAACAGACAGGCAGACACACTTACGAACCAAGTACTGTCACCCTCGCTGCGCATGCGCGCCAAGGGTTAACAATGAAAATTATATAATACAACCCATCATTAGTATCAAAGAGTTACTAAACAACAAAGAGTTTCGGGAAAGAAAAATCTGTTAACAGTGCTTGTAACTACATGTATTTGGCTTTTGGTGGGTCTTCAAACAAAGAAACTATGTACAGTGATGATCAGAGTTTCATGAAAAATATTACAAGTCTGTTACAACAACAAACAGCCTAAGAAAACCTTGAAAATGGTGATTTTGTGTCCTCTAACGATCTATCATCCATTCTACTACTGCATTACATGCACCATGGGTCATCCCTGTCTTGTCTCCTTGTTTTTTATGGCATTTTTTATGTAATTGTTAAACATTAACCATTATGTGTTTCAGAAGGACCTATAGCTTGAAAATATAAGACAAAACTTTACTGAGTGGAAAAGTGTCATAACCACAACTTCAACCATCACAGAGTCCATATACGGTTTAACAAGAGTAGCACACTAGGCAACAAGATAGGGATTGTGTGATGAGTTCGGAGTTGTTAGCATGCTCATAATCTGTTTGTAAATCGCGCTCCATACATCCCATCCCCATTTTGTCTCCCTTACTTTTAATTTTTACACTTCTTTAAAATTATCACTAAGTCATGCCACTGAGTAACCAAGAATACAAAAACAGTTTACGAGTGGCACACCAGGCATCAATATAGGGATTGTGGGGTGGGGTCGTATCAGCATGCAAGCTCAAATCTGTTCATTAACCATGCTTCACAATCCTTATCTTGTCTCCCTTTAAAAATTCGCAGGATTTTTTATTTACTTGTTTACTTGAGGACTACAGTACTTGATGGTGTAACAAACAGAACATTAATGACTAGGTGGGATCGCAACTATACACGGAGTTAGTAAGGCATAGCCAAACCCACTCGCTAAAACAGGAGAGGGTCGTGTCTGAGTTGTGCAAGTGGAATACAGTGACATAATTTTTCCATTCAAATACATGCATGTGAAAACTACAAGGTAGAAAGGCAAAGGCACAACAAACAAATCAACTACACCCAGGACAGCTCTTTTTTGCAAGGAGCAATAAAGAGCTGCCCCTGGGTGGGATTCGAACCCACGACACTCTGCAGTCTAGGCGAGCGCTCTACCAACTGAGCTACCAGGGCAACTCAGCTGGTAGGGGTTCGAATCTACAACACAACACAAACGCACACCTCAAACCACTGTGCTATGGCACAGTATACTCTCACTCAGCATGCAGGAACAGACCGGGGTAATTAAACCACCAATGACTCCCAACTCCAAGCCAAGTATATGCATGTCAAAACTACGAGATAGAAAGGCAAAGGCACAACAAATGCGCATGTTCCATCCACGGCCATAACATTACAAAGCTACCCTTGGTTTCACAGCCAACTACGAGGAAGTGATGATCCACGAGCTCACTGAAGCTAACACAAAGTGCTTCAGGGAACCTCAGCTCACACTGCACAAATGTGTTTCTTTTTTCCGTGATGATTTTAAATTGGCAATCATATTGGAGATAACCGATTTTCGGTTATTCTGCACAATTCGGCATACAGAAGTTTTAGTGAGAGGGTCAGGGTGTGGCTTTGCCAGACTACAAATAGGTGAAGCAGAGGACAAACATTTTCGGTATACAAAGGCTCAATTCTTGAAGCAAAAACTGTTTGGAAAATACAACAGTGAACTAATGGACATGTGACAGCCACGTGGGAGGCAAATGGGGCCACAGTGTGGTAGCCAACTTCAAGGACTGGCCACAAAATGCAAGTCGGAACTGGTTTTGCCTCAGGAATTGAGCTACATAGCTAACTACACTTAGCTAAATCTCGCTTCAAACAGGGCACACTAACTTACATCAGGATTTGCCTCCAGTGGTAGCCAGCAACCCTTTTTCTCTGCCATGCCTGCTGTATTATAATACGCAGTACTGCAACCGTTTACCGCGGAAAATATTTTCTACGATCCGCGTGTTTATCCGCGCCGCCGGGGCAGTGTTGTAAAGATGAATCACCTTCCGCAAGTATGGCAGTCCAGAATGGTGACCACGTACAGGACCTGTTCTACAGCAGTTGATCGACAGCGTATGATGCCGTTCGAGCGATACAGGAAACTACGGCGACGTTTGAAATCTAGATCAAGAGTGGCTGGGGTGCCTGGTGCACTCGCTGGAGTAGCACTGTCTTCAGCTGTTAACGTACATTTTCATCCTCAGATGTTGGAATTTCAGAATCCAGAAGCGGAGCTAACTCATATTCTGTGAGATGTGTTATCGACATCGCTTTCTCATGCACTTGGTGCTACAACCCCGCGCGTGTGCTCCCTGGTATCTGTTATCAGTGTAAATTAAAAACCTGAAAAGAAGAGGCATAGGTATAAAAAGAAAGGGAGAGGGAACAGGGATGGGGTTCATGAAGCATGGTTAATGAACAGATTTGAGTATGCAGAAACCCCTCATCCCATCAAACAATCCCTATATTATTGTTGCCTGGTGTGCCACTCATAAACACCCTTGGTTATACTCAGTAGCACGACCTCACATTGTTGTGGTACCTGTGTTGGTTACTCAGTAGCATGACTTTTTTTGTATTTTCAAGCTGTAAGTCCTGACCATTGTAGTGTTGAATGTTTAATACTTCACCTAGGCAACAATATAGGGATTGTGTGGTGGGATCGGGGGTGTCCGCATGCTCAAATCTGTTCATTAACCATGCTTCATGTATCCCATCCCTATCTTGTCTCCCTTATACCATCCCTATATGCCTCTTTTTTTAAATTCGCAGGACTTGTCTCCACTCATTTTTATATACTATTAGGTATATCTCTGTGAAAAGGGGCAAGCCCCCTATAAAAAAAAATGGAAATGAGCTAATACGCATGACTACCAAGTTTCATCTCCATGTGTGCTGCCATTAGGAAGTTTGAACAGTGAAGACCCAAAGCTATTTGTTGTTGTGCAAACAATATCCAGTCGTCATGGAAACGATGTCATACACATGCGTACCAAGTTTCATCTCCATGGAGTGCCTGAGGCTATTTGTTGTTCAAACCATATTGGGTTGTCATGGAAACTATGTAATACGCACGCATGTGTACCAAGTTTCATCTCAATGTGTGCTACCGTTATCAAGTTTGAAGAGAAGTGTCACAGGCTATTTGTTGTTGTTCAATTGTCATGGAAACATGTAGTTGTCAAGGAAATGATGTGATATGCATGTGTACGTACCAAGTTTCATCTCTATACATGCTACCATTAGAAAGTTTGAGAAGTGAAGAAGTCATTTTAAAACAATGTGCCTGAGGCTATTTGTTGTTGTTAAACCAAGCGAACAAGCCGATATGCAAATTGACACAGACCTACCTCGATCGGGTGCACTTGTTCTGTGGATGTTGAAGGCACAAGAAGTCGCAACAAACAGCGTGTATCGAATCCCACATACTAACTACTACTGTAGCTAGCCCGTGTCAGACTGTCCGTGAGCTACTAGCAGGAGACCGCGTATAGCCCTACCCATCGATTAGCGGTACCGCGCATGCACAGTTCGCCGAATACTGGACTGCGTAGTGCGTATATATAATTATTATACTGTAAACTGCTGTGCAATGCTTTTCTATGACATAATGATGACATAATGTGTTGTGAATAATGCTTTTCTATGACATGTGTTGTGCAATGGTGTTGCAAAGCTAGTATCATGCCACACCACACAAGGCCTGCACTTACTCCCTACCACTAATAAAGTCCACCCCCTCTGCAAGTAAGATATAATGTGCGTTTAGAGTTCTATACGTGATTTATGGGAACGAGGGGTGTGGTCGAGAGACTCATACAGATTCCCATAAGTCATGTATAGAACGATAGGACTCACATTATGTGTTTTATTGTGACTTTGTAGCAGTCGTCGACCTCCAGCGAGAGAAATACGACTGCGTAGCCTACTACCCGTGCGCACGTGCGCACTCGCTGGCTTCTCGAGCGAGTTCTCTGTTGTCGAGGCTACAGTAATCGAACTAGGTCGTGATGGTGGCTCTTTCTCCCTCAGAGAAACTCGTTTCATGGGTCGCTGGGCTGTTTGACCGGTCGGTGTGCCGCGGCCGCGGTCTCGCTTGCCACTGGTAGCTGAATGAAGGGGTGTGGTCGCCTCAGCCATCCCTCGCCTCTACAGACTGTCATCCCTCGCCTCTAAAGCCTCTACAGAACAGTTTTTGTCTACACTATGGGTACGATGCTGCTGCTAGTTCAATATTATTTATTGAACGTTCAATATTGGTCATATTGAACGCGTCTACAATACGGGAAAGAGTACGCGCGGCAGCTTTGATCCGCCACGCAAGTCACAATAAAAAGGAATATTGTACTATGCAACTTAACCTATATACACACTACGCATGTGCAAATAGTGCCACCCACTTAGTGAGCGAAGCTAGTGAATTGAATCAAAGTATGCTATATTAATCTGCAGGGGAATGGATCCACTTGCTTTTGCTGTATTATGTGGAATTGGCAGTGGAACTGTTGGGTTTCTCTTTGGTGGGTCAGTTTTCAATGTAATATGGAATATAGTATTCAAAAACAGATCCAAAGAATTGCAGCAGGTATGTCATGCATATGGAGCAATGCAGCAATTATGTTAGAACTTTTATAAGCAAGGTACAGACGTTTCCAATTTCGTTCCGTTTCTTTCCGTTTGCCGTTCACTATCGTTCCGTTCCGTTTCCATTCAGTTGTGAATTCCGCGTGACACGCCCTCCGCAAATGCGGTAGAGATTCGCTAGCGGGGGAGCAAAACGAGGTTTTTTCTTAGCATAAACGCGAAGCAACGAGAAGGCAGTGCCCATGGAAGAAATATCTTCACAGTGAGGCCTTTACATAGAGTGAATGACGGCCCTCACGCGAATGCATGCATGCCAACAATTGTAAACGGAACGAATTCCAACGGTAAATGAATGGCGTTTCAGAAGAGAACAAAAGCTCAACGAAAGAGAACGCAACGAAAATGGGAACATTTTTTTACCCCTACTGTATGATCGCATTTTTTGTATACTCCCTCCAGAATGGACAACCCTCAGTTGGTTTTATTGCTATGTCTTGTTCTTGGTTCCCTCAGTATACAGTGTGCACACGCATTTCTTACGCATTGCCATTGCAAAGAGTACTGATAAGTAATTGCTCATATCACACAGTGATTTCTATGCTGTGTTCGTGACCGATCACATCATCTACACCTTACATCTCGCTAGGAAGTAATACTAGATCGTATGCTTTCCCTTCGTGTAACTATTCCTGCATGGTGAACGAAGCTTACAGACACTGTCTAAGGTGACCGTATTGAGTTTTTATGCCGTTCTGTGAACAGGCATCGATGTTTGATTTTTTCTATAGCATGGCTGAAGGGACTGATTTATAGTGTATTTTTCGTTGAATTGTTAGGTCTTGTTTTACAAAGTCAGTTTTTCTTTTCCAAATATTCTGTTTAGTGTGGGAAACCCAGTGCACGATAATTATTGCGGGGAGTGAACGGTTCTTAGCCACGCGCAGTATGTAGCTTTCTCCATGTCCTACGGTATGCACAGGTCCTAGTAGCAAAACATGTGTGGCTCCTGTGTGACAAAGGTCACGATAACATAATCCTCAGAACTTGGCCATGCCCATTTTTGTGATCGCTGTAATATGCTTCTGCATGTACAGTAGGAAGCAGGAAGAACGCCACCGCGCATAATTGTGCAGAGCCGTTTGTGGCCATATAAGGAACATTCGTCGTGAATATGGAAGATGTAAAGAAACCTGACTCCAGCGACAAAGACAAGAAGAAGGATCATGGCTTGCACATGGCCAACAGAGTGAAAACGAAACAAGACAGCAGTAGTTCGAGTGCCTGCACTATCAGCTAGTCCTGGTTGGTGTGATCATTTGATTGTGGAGTCTTAAAACATGTGCAACGAACTAACACAGTTTGTTATACTTTCCAAGCTTATGGTCGTTGCACTAGGAGATTGCTATGAAGTAGGCGCAGTGGGTCGTTGAATTATTGTAGTCGAGACAAAGTAACCCAGTGGGAAATGAAGTGAAGTGTTGTACGTGCCAAAGTTGTCCTACAATTCGCTCAGTATGTCCAAAACAACAGATGATGGAAACACAGCTAGATTCAGTGAAACAAGCTGCCATAAAAAGTAGAAGCTTGCAACTTAGAGTGGGAGATATGAATTGTCAGAACAGTCGTGTTTATTCTCATCCTTCAGAGAGCAAGAATAGAACAAGGAACTTGCATTAATGTTTTGAGTCTGTGGCTTACAAAATGTAGCCAAGGACTACCTGGCAAATATGATGAAACAAGTCAAATTGGTTTTTGCGAGCCATGTGTGAAGGAAAACATAGAATTCAATTTCCGAACAGTGGAAGACGAGGCAAGTAGCAACTAGAACTGGTACACAGTGATGCAATAAATGCCATAATGACTGAGAATACTTTCTGACTTTCATTGATGACGAGACAACCACAAGATGGGGCTCCACCTGCTGCACTGGTGGCCCCTGCACCACTGGAGTAGTAGTGAGTGTGTGTTTGTCTGTCCGTTTGTCTTTTACCACGTTTTCTGCGACTACGTGAAAAACAGCGATACCAACAGGGTTATCGCTACACTGGCTTCATTTTAAAAAGGTGATTTTCGTATAACTACGGTGTTGCAAAAGTTATGGCATGAAAGCAAGTGAACAAGCCAATATTCCAATTAGCACAGGCTTACCTAAGTCTGGTGCCCTTCACAAAATATATGCGCACTCGTAAACGCCTGCACGAAGGAGGGAGAGAAGGGTCTGGTAAATAACTATGCCTCTCCGCAGGCCAAGCAAACACTTATCTCAAGTGGTTGCGCTTACACCCAACTGTGATGAATATCATTATGCGCTATCATACTAACGCGCGTGCGCCACACACGTGGACTTTCTGCCTTTTTGACGGATGGACAGTACTTGCAGAGCCTGCAGAGCAAGCCTGCCTGACTCAAAAGCTCGTAGACCCATGCAAGGGTTATCTTACAGTACACTGTTTGACATTATTTCAGCAACGAAGGAAGATGGAGCAGCCGAGGTGCACAAAGCACAAAATATCTTGCGTCTTCTCCGAGCTACGTGTGAAAGCAGTGTAATTCTACTCTCTTGAAGTACGCAAGTATATGCGAGCTTATCAAAAAGATCAAAGGCTTCTTGGCTACAGAACTCTGTGCTGAACCAGAAACAGAGTTATAGTATCAACCAGTGCAAGGTATAGAGTGTACTTGCACATAGCAGGAAGCTGAACAGTGAACTCCTCTGAATCCAGCAAAACCGCAGAGAGTCTAACAGGACAAAGATGCAGCTGCATCTAAAAAGCATCAGTTCACCACTACCCTCCTACCTCGCAAAACACTTTTCTCTCAGCCCACTACCTTTGAAGCAAGATCTCCTGATGTTACCATAAGCATTTTGTCCATTTTACTAGAAACTATTATAAAATAATGCAGGTTGTATTTGTCAGCAAGAACGGAAGAGTAGATACTTCCATCTCTCTGGTTCTCTTAAGAGAGTTGGGAAGTACGTTGGTAGAGGAAATAGGCGATCAATTGCAGCTGTTATTGTACAAAACTCTAGATCAAGGGATAAGGTGGTGTCATCGTTATGCAAAGAAATTCAAACAGAGGTCAAAACAGCAATTATACAAGTAAATTTAAAATCCTGCGAATTTAAAAAAGAGGCATATACAGTAGGGACGGTATAAAGAAAAACGGAGACAAGATAGGGATGGCATACATGAAGCATGGTTAATGAACTGATTTGAGCAAGCTGAAACCCCCGATCCCATCACACACCATCCCTATATTGTTGTGTGCCACTCGTAAACTCCATTTGGACTGTTAGTTACTCAGTAGCATGACATCACATTGTTGTGGTAACAGTGTTGGTTACTCAGTAGCTTGACTTTTTTTGGTATTTTCAAGCTGTAAGTCCTGACCATTGTAATGTTGAAGTTCCACCTAGGCAACAATATAATGGATGTGTCATGTGATCAGGGTTTCAGCGTGCTCAAATCTGTTCATTAACCATGCTTCATGTATCCCATCTATATGCAGGGGCGGATCCAGGAATTGAGAAAGGGGGCACACTGTTGTTTTTGACTAAATAGAAGTGCACAATCTAGGGGGTGTGTGGGCATGTATATACCCCCAGAAAAAGTTTGAAATTTAGCCCTTCTGAGATGGATTCTAACACGCAGCTGAACCATCTTACGCATTGAGCGATATGCTTCCTCAAACTCCCTTTCTTCATTCTGCCTTACACCTTTTAAAAACACCTTTGACAACTTCAACTTCCTTGTAGGCTGTCGAAATATCTTGTGTTGATCCTTGCAAAAGACAACTTAAGGCCTTGGTATAGCCAGAGAAGTAAAGGTTTGGAAGGCTGCAATGAATTGGTCAGAGCAGATGGATCTCAGGAGTCCATTTGCTTCAGTCATGCTCTTGGAGTTTCAATTACCATCAGAATTGCTGCCAATAGCCTTCAAACAAACAACAGTAGACTCATACATCTCTGCAAACTCTGCTAGCACAGTGTGTCGTTCTACCCAGCGTGTTTCACACATCAAGAATGGTGAAAGTTCTTCATTATTCCTCTTGGCTTTAACTTCTATGACTGCTTGCTCTAATCTCCTTTGTCTCGTTGGAGAATATGATTCCCACTGCTTTAGCACAGACTGTATGGGTGGAACTGTGCAAGCCTTAGAAAGAGCCAAATTAAGCTGATGACTGCTGCAGTGATAATACGTAGCTTTGGGGACAGATTCTCGGAACTTGGCTTGACACTAATTTAGATGACCTGACATGAGCCTGCCCCATTATAAGCTTGTGCACGACAAAAGGTAGCATCAAGTCCAAAAGTAGCAAGAGCCTCAAGTATCGTGGAACAGATTGAAGTACCATTTACATATTCACAAGCAAAAAAACTTGCAAGTCTCTCCACTGGCTTGTTCTCTTTGACATAGCGAAGGGCCAGCCCTAGCTGCTCCCAGCCACTGGTGTCTGCCACCTCATCTGCTTCAAAACCAAAGAATTCGTTTGCTTTCACATCATCTAAACTTTTAGTCAGGAAGTTATTGCCCATAAACTCAAGAAGTTCATTCTGAGATGTCTTGGATAAGTAAGTAGCATTTTTTGCACACTTCTTTTCCAAAAATTCCTTCAATTCAATATCTCCTGACTCTATTCTGAAGTCAACCAAAGCACGAAATTTTCCCTTATTGATATCATCGGAAGTTGAATCATCTCGGTGACCTCGAAGTGCAATTCCTTGCCATCCACACATCTCCAAACACTTAATGATGGAGGTCAGAACAGAGCCATTGCTTTTCACAAGCTTCTGGCTTTCGTCAGTAACTGCCAAGTCAACTCGAAGACTAGGGCTTTCCATGGTATATACAAAAGTGCTGGCCCCAGCACCTTGGTGGTAATGCAAATGTGCATGAGCCATCAAATAAGCTTTTCCATCCTTCCAGTTCTGGTATGGTTTCTTCACTAGATACTGGGCCCGAGATGCTCCTTCATGTGCACCGCAAGTAGGGAAAAGAA